AAAGTGTATGATTAGTGAAGAAGGTATAAATTTGTATATGTAACATAATCTTTAATATTCAAAGATATGTAAAGACAAAGTTCTGAGAAGGAATGAACTATTACAAATATCTATATTTTGGTAGTGAAATTATAGGTAACTTTTAAAAACAGATTTTACATTTTCAAGTTTTACATGGTGATAAAGCACTACTTTTTAAATAAAAAAATCTCCAGAAACTTTCAATATCTAGAAATTGTTCAGAAAATGTACACTTGCTAAGTTTTCACAAAAATTTAAATGACTGATTTTTATTATTATTTTTCTTTCAATAGTTTTGGTGGTACAAATAGTTTTGGTCTGGGCTTTAAATGTACCCTCCACCCCACCTGTGTACATTGTACCTGATAGGTAATTTTTTGTTCCTCCATTTCTTCCCACCCTCCCCGTCCTGACTCTCTCTGTCTTTGCATATTGCTTAGTTTATCTCCAAGGTATTTATGCAAAAATTTAACATTTACTTTTATCTCACCAATAGGTAGGTAAATAATTTTAGAGAGTATTTTGTTTTACTTTTTGCTTTTCTGCATATTTCAAGTGCTTTGTTAAAAATTTGGCCAGGAAAAAAGGACCAAAACAGAGGCTTTCCTTCCATTCTGGCATTCTCAGGGCACCCCCAAACAAAGAGAGTGTCTAAAAGGAGACACTTATAAGTGAGAACATACTGTGTTTGGGTTTCTGTTCCTGAGTTAGTTCACTTAAGAGGATGTTCTCTGATTGATTCTAAGTTGCCGCAAAAGACATAATTTCATTCTTTTGACAACTGAATAGTATTTCATAGTGTATATACACAACATTTTCATTATCCATTGATCAGCTGATGGGCTTTTAGGTTGATTCCAGATCTTTGTGATTGTGAATTTTGCTGTGATGAACATGCAGGTGCAGGTGTCTTTATTATATAATGACCTCTATTCTTTTGGGTAGATACCTAGCAGTAGGATTGCTGGATCAAATAGTAGATATATTTTTAGTTGTTTGAGAAATCATTTTTTGTTTTAAATTTTATATTGTTATAGCAATGTGGAGTAAAAGTAAGGGTTAACTAGATAAGTAGGCTGCATGCAGGTGAAGTTTGGGCCTCCAGCTGGCCCTCAATTCCCCTGGTTTAGGACCAGGTACGCTTTATGTTGCTATATGACACCTCTCCCTCTCTTCCTCCTCTGGCAGTGCCCAATGACTGCCGCTTCCTCCCTTGTGCTAATGTGACTAGTGTTCAGGGCCTACTTATTACTGAGACTATGTGGTATTCGGTTCTTAGTTTCTGTGATAGATCACGAAGTGTGATGGTGGTCCAACTCCATCCAGTTTGCTGTGAAGTTCTTGATTTTGCTCTTCTTTACGATTGCATAGTATTTCATCATGTATATATATCACATTTTCTTTAGTCCACTTTTGATGGGCAGTGGGGTTGGTTCCATGTTTTTGCTATTGTGAGTAGTTCAGCTATAAACATGCGTGTGCAGGTGTGTTTTTGTTTAAAAATCTATGTTCCTCCAGGTAAATTCCCAAAAGAGGTATTGCTGGATCATATGGAAGGTCAATTTTTAGTTCTTTTAGGAATTGTCACACTACTTTCCACAGAGGTTGAACTAGTCTGCACTTCCACCAGGAGTGTAGAAGCATGCTCTTTTCTCTGTACCCTTGCCAGCATCTGTTGTTTTTTATTTATTAGTGATAGTCATCCTAACTGAAATTAGGTGGTATCTCAATGTGATTTTGGTTTGCATTTCTCTGATTAGTGAGGCTGAGCATTTTTTCATGTATCTGTTGGCTGCTCAGTTGTTCTCTTTTGAGACGTGTCTATTCATGTCATTTGCCCACTTTTTGATAGGATTGTTGTTGTTTTTTTTTTCTTTCAGGTTTGAATTCCTTGTAGAACCTGGCTATTAGGCCTTTGTCAGATACACAATTACCAAATACTTTTCCCCATTCTGTGGGTTGTTTTCTCACTCTCGTGATGGTTTCTTTTGCTGTGCAAAAAGTTTTTCACTTTGATGAGGTCTCACTTGTCTATCTTATCTTTTTTGGCATTCACGTTTGGGGATTTGATCAAGAACTGGTTGCCTACTCCAATGTGCATAAGAGTGCTTCCTACACTTTTTTCTAGGATTCTTATAGTTTGAGTTTTTTATGTTTAGGTCTTTGGTCCATTTGGAGTTGATTTTTGTATATGGCAATAGGTAGGAATCCTGTTTCATTCTTCTGCATGTGGTCAGACAGTTTTCCCAGCATCATTTGCTAAATAAGGACTCCTTTTCCCAGTGGTTGTTATTGGTGGTTTTGTTGAAAATGAGTTGGTTGAGAGATTGAGTTTTTGCTTCCATAATCTCTATCCTGTTCCATTGGTCTATGTTTCTATTCCTGTACCAGTACCAGGCTGTTTTGATTACTGTGCCTTGTAGTAAAGTTTAAAGTCTGGAAGTATGATACCTCCCACTTAGCTCCTTTTGCTGAGGATTGTTTTGGCTATTCATGCTCTGTTTCATTTTCATATGAATTTCTGTATTGTCATTTCCAGGTCTGAGAAAAATGATGTTGATAATTTAACAGGTATTGCATTAAATTTGCATATTGCCTTGGGTCGGATGGACATTCTGACAATATTGGTTCTTCCAATTCCTGAGCATGGAATGTTTTTTCATTTGTATGTGTCATCCTTGATTTTTTTGAGCAGCATTTTTTAGTTTTCATCGTAAGTTTTTCACTTCACTGGTTAGGTGGTTTGTGACTATTGTGAATGGGATTGTGCTTTTTATTTGGCACTCTGCTGGCTTGTTGCTAGTGTATACACGCGTAACTGTCTTTTGCACACTGATTTTGTACCCTGAGACTTTACCAAAGTCAATTATCAGTGCAAGGAGGTTTTGATAGATTCTCTAGGGTTTCAAGCTATAGGGTCATATTGTCTGCAAGAGGGATTGTTTGACTTCCTTTTTTTCCTAGTTGGATACCCGATTTCCTTCTCTTGCCTGATTGCTCTGATGAGGACTTCCAATACTATGGTGAACAAGAGGAATGAGAGTAGGCATCCTTGTCTAGTTCCTGTTCTCAGGGGGAAATGCTTCCAAATTCTGCCCGTTGAACAAAATGTTGGCTATAGGTTTATCATAAATGGCTTTTACTGTTTTGAAGAATTCTCCTTCTTTGCCTAGGTGTTCAGATGTTTTAATCAATAAGGGATGTTGGATTTTGTTGAATGCTTTTCCTGCATCTAATGATATAATCATGTGGTTCTTAGTTTTACATCTGCTTATGTGCTGAATTATGTTTATGGTCTTGCATATGTTGAACCAACCTTGCCTCCCTGGAATGAAGCCCATTTGGTCATGGTGGATGATCCTTGAAATGTGTTGTTGGATCCAAGTTGCTAGAATATTGCTTAGAATTTTTGCATATGTGTTCATCAAGGACATTGGTCTGTAATTCTCTTTCTTTGCTGCATCTTTACCCAATTTGGGAATCCGTATGATGTTGGTTTCATAAAATGAGTTGGGGAGAATTTCCTTTTTCTCAATTGCCTGGAAAACTTTCAGTAATATTGGTATCAGCTCTTCCTTGTATCTCTTGTAGAATCCAGCTGGGAAGCTATAGGGAATGGAACTTTTTTTGGTGGGTAGATTTCTTATGATTGATTCTATTTCCTGAATTGTTATTGGTCTGTTTAGAGTTTTGTTTTCTTCTTGTTTCAAACTTGGGAGGTTGTGTGAATAAATGACTAATTTTAAATAGTCCTATACAATTAATTACAGGCAATTTTTATGTGAGACATTCCACAGGAGAGAGATGGGACCACCAAAAGTCAGTCCTGCACTGACATTTTAATAATAACGATTTCTTGTTTATTTAAAAAGGTGTTAAGGTGTGGGATTCAGCTATTTATGCAAATGTTCAACTCTTAACATCTTTTGCAAGAAAATATTGTCATCACCTGCTGGTCACTGTGATGGTCTTCTGTCCAGGTGAAATAAAATCCAACTTTTGGGAGAGTATAGAAACTGTGTCCTCTCATTTGTGCTCCAATCATCCTAGCAGTAGCTCAGTTTGTTGGGTTTATTGTCTTTTTTTCTGGCTAGTCTATGTGTATATTTTATCCCTCCCAATATCCACAAGTATGGACCTTTAATGAACTTGTTTTATGTAGGAGGATAATCAAGACACAGAGAGGTGACACCATTTTCCCAAGACCACACAGTTAGTGAAAAACAGAGCTGAGATACAAATTCAGAAAATGGTAACTCCTCTGCTATTGCTTTTTCCAAATGTGTGGAAAGCAACTGTAGTAAATCTGGTGTGAAAGCACTACTGATGATGAAAATATTTATTGAGGAAGCATAGGAAAAACAATGACTGCAATGAAATGCAAGTCAGATGACCTGAGATTAAATTGTCCCTCAACACTTGATTCGTTGCATTGAAACCCTAAATAGAACATTCCAGAGTGAGCCTTTTTCTTCTTTGCACCTCATAGGACTTTGATGAAGAGCCAATGGGACAATGAGTGTGAAAGTCCTTTGTATTAGTTTCCTAGCTTTCCAAAAATGATATCTGAATTAAATAAGACAATTAGAAATGTAAAAACCTGAACCTTATTATCTTTTTCCCCTGCAGACATGTCATCTTTATATTTTGACTTAAAGTCTTATCTTTGGTTTTGCAGAAGATAAATACACATATGCCTACTTAAATGTGCTTTGTGAATTTTAAAGTATACAAATTTATTGCATTGCCCAATGTCCATTATTTGAGGCATAATTTGATAAGCTACTCTAATTCTAGGAAAACATTGTTTCCACAGAAGAATATGCTCCCTTTCTGCTGTCAGAAAATAAGAGTATAATCTCTCTTTGGCTCTGGCTGCCAGGAAGTTTAATTTCCTGTCCAGTGGAGCCCTTCTTCACAGTCAGGCATCTCTACCCCCTTGGCTCTTAATGATCATTTCCTTCATAGGCGTTACTCACCCTTCTTTGCAAGTGTAAGTGACAGTGTTCCCAAAAGTGAAGTTACTTCCGGTAATGACAGCATCTTTGATGGCAGGCGGAGCGCCACAGAAGACAAGGTGACAAGTAGGTGGTGCTCTGTCCCAACTGCCAGAAGCTGTGCATTCAATGATGGATGGGCCCTGTAAACTACAGGAAAAAAATAATGTCACTCTTTTCATTGGCTCTTTATTTACCCCCATGGAGATGGACCAGGAAGGACTTAGAAAGCAATAGGGAACACTTGAGATATCTTAGTACCCCAAAATAATGTTTCTTCATATTTTATTGCTTTATATAAAAACAAGGGAAATCTAAACAGGCTATATGCCATTTAAAACAATGAATGGGTGAAAACAATATAACAATGATAACAACTTGTTACAAAAAAAAAATAGTCAAATGTGATCATCAGTGGTGGTATAGGGCACTCCAAACCTTGTGAAAAGATTACTTGGATGAAATGGGGCTATTAGACTGGCTATAGTTCAAGCAGGAGGGAAGACACTCACCTGAAAATCACCAGGAAATCAGGGTGAGTGAGGTCAAAGGGCACTGTACCAGCCATGAGCCTGGGCATTTAAACCACACTGCTTCTGACTCTGAACTCTGGTTTTCCTTTGGTTTTACAAACCTCCATGGCTATATCATGGCTTTTCTGCCTTTTTTGTCAGCCTGATCCTGACTGCCCATACTATTCACTCCACTTGCTGTTCGCTCCATCTGTTCCGCTTCAGATTCTGTTGTTGATCACAGCCTGACTTTATTGTTCCTTTGGTTTGAATACACACACACACACAACACACACACAACACACACACACACACACACACACGCACACACACACACACACACCATTAATCAAATTAACCTCTTACAGTATCAAGAGCCTAGGATCTCCTTACCTTGACATACTTTTTCACAACATCCCATGCAATGTTGAATATAAGTTGAGTAAGCTGTTTATTAAAAAATCCATTGCAAAAGCATTTTATCAGGAATTGCATAATGCTTCGCAATCAATTTTCATTTTCATGTCTAAGGTCTGAATGCATATAGATATTGGGCTAGGGCTTCCAGAGTGGCAGTTAGATTGAATCTTTCCCTGGTACTTAATATAAGCTAGGCTGCAGAACGCACACAAATTCGAGAATCTCCTTACATGTATACATCTTCTTTAAAGTCAGCCAGTCAGTTATGAATGAAACCAGTTGAGTAAAGAATGAGTAATAAAGTATTATAGAAAGCTTGGCCGGTGTACCTGTATCCACTCTCACATGAATATGATGCAGTAGAAAGGTAGGTAAGCCCACTCAAAATATATTTTCCATTATTTATGCTTTCCGGACTGGAACACTTCACCAGTTCACACACAGGAGGAGAATAACTCCAAGAACCGCTGGCAAGACAGGATGATTCTTTATCACCTGCTAGAGTATATCCTTTATTACACCTAGAGAAGACAGCAGAAAATTACAGGATATAATTTGCTTTATTTTGCATAATTTTATTCCAAAAACTTCTGAAAATATTAAGAATTTGCATATATTGGAAAAGTTCTTTTTTTCTATTGAAATAATGCTTTTAAGTTAATTTTTTTCAAGGTTGAATACTGTACATCTTTACTATAGGAATCTTGCTGGGTGACAAGTAGGATAGACTTAATTTGGCTTGTCTCCATCTTGTGTCATGGGTTAGTAACTGAAAACAGGAAATTCTTGGTTTGAGAGGGATGTGGTCTGGTCTAAGACCCTGAGACATCAAGGGTATTCATTAGCTAGGAGCACCTTCCTCTGTGGCATCCCTTCTCAGGGTACCTCATGGGGGTGCTGGTGGCAACTATAGGTTACTGGTGAGGGGATTTAAGGATTCTAGGTATGGCTACCATTAGATTATTGGATTAAGATATCTTCACACTACACATCATTCAATTAATTCCATATTAATTTAAAAACATCCTCTGGGATTATTTTCCCACTCTTTTTTATTCCAGTATTATATCACTGTCAATGTGCCACCAACAACTTCTACAATGTAGTTTTAATCTTAGACACTTACCTATATGCCACTCTACTGCCATAGGTAAACACTGATCCCTCAATGTCACCATTTTCTGGAATAGCTGGTGCACCACAGGAAATAGCTTAAAGGAGGAAAAACAAAAAACATGGCTTTTTTGAGATTGTGTATAAAAAAAATCTCTGAAAGCTCAAGGGACAGCTCTAGGTTGCTTTATTTTTGTTATGTTTAAACATAAGCCTTGGGTTTTAAATACAAAGAACATCTATAGAACATAAGATCTGACATGTCTACACCTTCCTTTTCTAGGACTACCAAACACAATAGCCATAGGAAATTTACTAAACATACCTTCACAATATGGCATTAGATGATTCCATTCTCCAGACTCCAGACATGTGATTTTGGCTACTCCCATCATCTGGTAACCATCCTCACATGAAAATGTGACTTCTGCACCCACTGTATAAATTTCACCGGAAGAGTGGCCGTTTTCTGGATTTCCTGGAGCCTTACATTTTATAGGTTCTTGAAACAAAAAATCAGTTTTGGTGGAATAATAAGTAGCTTTTACACAACTATGCAAAGTGTCACAGCAAAAGGTTCTCGTTAAAATCCTGAGAGAAAAGTTTCAGGAGTATGAATGCCAGGAACACACTGGGCATTATACTAGAATATGTATTTAGTAGTCACTTAAACAATAATATTTTGAAACAGCAATGATTAACAAAAATATACAAAATTTATCTGGCCCTATAGGAAGCTGTTCACTGGGGAAGAGTGTCGGTGCCAGAACATGGCTTAGAAGAGTTTTAGCTCTTCTCATGTGTCCTCAAGCTTATAATCCACTTTTTAAAGAGCAACTGACAGTATCAGACTGATGTCAAGGCTCTACAAACAGATTCAGGAGAAGTTCTCAGTCCCCATTTCCAATTAGAGGGGTCATAAGCTTCTCCTATTCACCAATTCAGGGTCAGTCACCACTGCTAGGAAGGAAAAAAAGTTAAAGCAAGGTTTGGGGGGTAGCGTTGAGCAATAGGAGTGAACATAATACTTGAATTTTCAAAAAGAGAAAATACATTGATTTAATCTTTCTAAAGGTCATTTGGGATATATAGGTCAGGGGTTTAAATACACCCTTCCCCTAAAGTAAATGCAGTTATAGGATTTAATTTTGAGAAAAATAGCCATATCCACAAGTAAGCACATAGATTTGTGTCTGAAGATGTTTAATAAACTATTTTTCATAGTGGCTGTCACCTAATGTTAACATAGAGAGAAAAGTTAACTATGAGAAATCCATAAAGCGAATTATGAAACAGAAGTTAAAATCATGTTCTCAAACTACTTTGTGACCTAAAATGTGCATGATATAATATTACATGAAATAACTAAAATAAAGAACTGTTTACGAGGGAGGACCCCTCCCTCCCAAAAAACCCCCAGAATTTTGGGAGGGTGGGCCATTTTTAGTACAGGCTTCCCCACTAGGTAAGTTTTCTAGGAACCCATTAGCATCAGTGTACCTGCTAGCATTATTGTGAGAGGTTACATTTAGCTTCAGAAATTTTTCTTTTTGGAAATTCTTTAAAGTTGTTTCCCTATTTCATGATGGGCGATTAACGAGTACACCTGCCCATACCATGCTGACTGTTCAACAGTTTTTGACCAAAAAAACTGTTCTTGCCCTGAGCAACATTTTTTGTTTCCCTGGATGAAAAATGTGTTCGAAGGGAAACGTTTTGCCGATGTGGAAGAGGTGAAACAAAAAATGGCAGAAGCACTAAAAAACATGAAAATTGGTGAGTGCAAAAACTGTTCTGAGCTGTGGAAAAAGCATCTTGATAGGTGTATTGCACCAACCAGAGAGTACTTTGAAGTGAAGGTGACTGAAGTTAAAGCATGTAAGAATAAAAACACAACATTTTATAAATAAGTTTATTTTGGCAAGTTCCCTCTCATAGTGTGTTTACATATGAATCTAAACATGTGTATATATATTTATGTGTGTGGAAAGCATATAAAATATTTGAGACATATATTCCTCTTTTTAAAAAAATTAGATCTTTAGCATCTTTATTTTATTTTACTTTATTTTAAAATCTATACTTATATTTTTTAATTTTTTTCAATACCTTTGGGGGATACATTTTCTTACCACACCCACACTTGTATCTCTGCTATTATAATTGTCGATGTATAATTTTTTTTTTCTTGAGCTGGGATCTCACTCTGATACCCAGATTGGAGGGCAGTGGCACAATCATGGCTTTAAGCAGCCTCTATCTCCTGGGCTCAGGCAATCCTTTCACCTCTGCCTCCCAAGTAGCTGGAACTATAGACAAGTACCGCCATACCCGACATTTTCTTTTTCTATTTATTTTTGGTAGGGACAAGATTTTAATATGTTTCTTAGGCTGGAATTCATAATTTTATTTATCTTATATTTCAGTAATAAGTTACAACATTTGCAAACTGTATGGACACACATTTGGAATATCTATTTAAGTCAAACCTAATGGTGAGCTGGTTTCAAAGCTCACTGTCTGAAGTGTTTGCCTCTCTCTCTGCCCTGTTTTACTCTGAAATCATTTCTCCTATGGCTTCATTTTTTAAAAAAATAATAGCAATTATGTCTCTGTTTCTTGTTACAATGAACAATTTCTTGAAATAATCTTCAGATTTCTGCATTAACTCATTTTTAGTCCCACATTCTGGGTCATCAAGTATTATTTTTTCCCTCGCTTTGGGCAGCAATTTTTTTGGTGAAGATCCTATATTTAAAATTTTGTTTAATCTTACTCATCCTTTAAAGAGAAAAAAAAGTATCTAAATTAGGTATTTCCCTAGATAAGTTTTGTGTCTTGTTCTTTAATAGTATATTTCAACTTGAGTACTGGTTGATGTATACATAAGCATTTAATATTCTCTGTTTGACTAAAAGAATATTTCTTGATCTAGTCTGCTTCTGTTCCTATTTCTATTGTCTAACTTACTGACATTTTGTTTTGACCTTTACTGTTGCTTCTCTCTCTCCCCCCACCTTTGTACATGTGTGTTTTACAGTGGGAAACATGATCTCTGTCATTTATAATCCCTGGGACTTTTCTCTCTGTTCCAAATTGTAGCATTTTACTTTGGGGGATGTATAGCTAGATGATTTGGAATGCTATTTTAAATTTCTTTTTACTTTTTATCTTATTGTTGTCTAGTAGTTACTCCTCACAATAAACTTAAAAAGATATCAATTGATTGAGAGATGGTCCAGTATTATCAAATTACCAAATATATTACAAAATATAGAGATGTGGTAAGGCAAGATGTCTATTTTTTTCAAGGATATGATTTTGTGTGACTGTGGCAGAGGAAGGATATTGGTAGTGAAATGTGATAAAGCATCATCTTTGTTCTGATTGAAGCAGAAAGGCCACTAATTTTATTTCTAAAGCCACTCTATCATTCTTGTACTATGTAGATATTTCTTCAACATTCTGCAAGTATAGTTGACTCTGAGTTTTAGTTTTTAGAAATTGGAAAGTTGGGAGAGACAAGATGCTACTTTAAAGTGCCTTTACAATGATCAACAACTCAAAAAATAACAACTGCTGGAGAGGGTGTGGTGAAAAGGGAACACTTCTACACTGTTGGTGGGAGTGTAAACTAGTGCAACCTCTGTGAAAAGCAGTGTGGTGATTCCTAAAAGCTCTAAAAATCAACCTTCCATATGACCCCGCAATCCCCCTACTGGGAATATACCCTGAAGACCTCAAATCACTCTATAAAAAAGATACCTGCACACGTATGTTTATCGCAGCATTGTTCACAATAGGAAGAACCTGGAAACAACCATGCTGCCCAGCAAAAGACGACTGGATTAAAAAAATGTGGTACATATACACGATGGAATGCTACGCAGCCATAAAAAAGAACAAAATCATGAATTTCGCAGCAACCTGGATGGAACTAGAGTCTATAATACTGAGTGACCTCTCACAGAAACAAAGATCTGAGTATCACATGTTCTCACTCATATAATGAACCTTGAACATCCAATGTAATATTATAAGAAAATGACTGACGGTACTGGGAAACTATGGGGGGGGCGAGGAGGATGGGATTAACAGTCGCAAATATCTGTCTGGGGATGGGGAAACACCTCTTATCAACAGGGTGCCTGAATGAAACGTAATTGTACACCTAACCCTTAACTGTACCCCACAAAATCATAATAAAAAATATTGATTAAAAAAAATAAAGTGCCTTTAGTTGTTACTTATGTTTTTCATACAATGTCTACCTTGTCCACTTGCCTGTATGCCCTTTGAAGTTGAATTTATTGTTTTATTTTAAAATAAAATACACTTGAAATATATATCTGAATTGAAAGAGAAACTTCTAGTTATACATATATCAGTTACCTGCACAGTTTTTGCCATCTCCTGTGTATGGTGGGATACATGAGCATATATAGGACCCATTTGTATTTAGGCAAGATGCATGCTCATTACAGTCTGATCCAACTGCACACTCATCAACATCTAAAATGAAGAAAGCACACAAAAACTGAAGTTGATTCATTTGTCTTATGTATCAAACTTCTGTTTTCACTTTTAAATCATTATATATCACTTAGTGAACAATGCTTTATCTATTTTTATAAAATTTAAATATAATAGTTATTATCACATTGCAGGTATATCAATAGCTGTCATTTCCCTAGTTTGTAGGTGGGCGAGTAGAACAGAGATAGATAAATAAAGTCTTACTGTTGAGCGTGATGAAAATTTGAAACATTTCTGACACCTCTACGCTTTGTAAATATGGCTTGCCCAGAGCTTATTAGGATGAGATGAAGTTAACAAAGGAATGCCTCGAGAACCTGGGGAATTTGGGATGACTGTCTTCTGTAGAACTAGAATAAACTCACATAGTAATTACCAACATTTATCTCACCAAGGCATGATGGTGAAATGCCGTTCCAGCTCCCATTATCTGTACAGAACATCCTTGAATCACCCAACAAATAGTAGCCATTGTTGCACTGGTAGGTTACTGTGCTGCCAGCATGGAAGTCCTCAGCAGAATAAAAGCCATTCTCCAAAGGAGGTGGCACCCCACAGCTAATGCCTGAAAAGCAACCAGGAAAAGAACAACTACAGTAGGAGCAAAATACTCAAAGGACGTTTTCTTTATATTCAAATAATAGCTTAGTGAAGCATGAATTTTTTTATCGCACACACACTTTGCTCTAGGGATGGTAGCTCCCTGAATCCTCGGCATCTAGCACATTGCTTGGCTCATTGTAGGTGTGCAATTCATTCATTCAAAAAAGACTGGGTGTGGTGGTTCACATCTGTAATTTTAGCACTTCTGGGAGGCTAAGATGAGAGGACTGCTTGAACCCAGGCATTTGAGACCAGCCTAGGCAATGTAGCAAAACCTTTTCTCTACAAAAAATCAAAAAAATCAGCTGGGTGTGGTGGCACAAGCTGGTAGTCCCAGCTACTTGAAAGGTTGAGGCAGGAGGATTGCCTGGGCCCAGGAAGTTGAGGCTGCAGTGAGCTGTGAGCGTGCCACTGTACTCCAGCCTAGGAGACAGAGTGAGACTCTGACTCAAACCCCCAAATCCCCTCCCAAAACAAACAAACCCCAAAATATCTGTGGAGGTCCTACACCCATTAGACATTGTCCTAGGTGTTGGAGTTACAACAGTGAACAAATCAGACAAAAATCTCTGTCTTGTGGAGTTTATTATCTACTGGAGTTGATAGATACAAAACAGATGAATATAAGTCAAGTGGTAACAGGGGTTATTCCCTATCTAAAATAGCAATCTTACCTCCATCCATTCCCTTCACTATATTTCCCTACCCTGTTTTTTCTTCAAACCCCTTACTTTCAGCCCTTACCTTTATGATTTATTACAAATAAATAATATCATATTTACTTGCTTGTTATTCTGTCTCTCCTACTAGAATGTAAACTTCATGGGAACAGGGATTTTTTTTCCAACTGTCACATCTCCAGAACTTAGATCAGTGTCTAGTATGTAAGAGATAATTTACACATTGTTGATTAAATGAATACATGGATGCACTCAATTCAAGAGGTCTCTTTCTGTCTTCCCACCTAGCAATGACCCATCTCCCTCTGTGCTTCCAATCACAGATTCTACCTTTTCCTCACATTCAGTTCCTTGGATCACCTTAGATGCATTCATAAGTGGTCTCTTTAGGTCTTCATCCTCCACCACCCTTGTGATGCACATTTCATGACACAAAGGAGGGATTCAGTAAGTATTTGCTATTGTAAAGTATTTAGCTTTTGTCTAGTATTCCTGAAAACCGTGCTTATGGTTTCAACATTTTTCAAGAGATGATTTCCACAGAGGCAACTCACGTTCACAGTGAGGGAGTGGTTGTGTCCACTGCCCTTGATTCAGACAGTACTGCACTGGGTTCCCAACCATCTGGAAGCCTGGATCACAGAATAGACTGATTTTGGAGCCTGGCTTTAAATCTACTGATGCAGTTCGCAGATGAGGTACCAATCCTTCTAAAGGTGGGCAATCTGAAGGCAAAGAACACAGGTGCAGAGCCTGTCAGCAACATAGTGGCAGCATCACCAAAGCACCAGCTTCAAATTGTATTTGATACCAGCATTTGGGAGCCATTGTACTGGTATGAAAACCAGTTAACATGTAATAAGATCACTGGCAAGCAAAATTACTGGATAAACTCTTTGAATCAACAAACAATCCTCCCTATTTCAACGCTCTCTATTTCTATATATTTCAGTAGAAGTCTGTTGAATATATTTTAAATAAAAAGTTAGAAATATGAATAAAATGTCCTAATAAGTTATAAAAAGCCAGGAACTCTAGGATAGTTTAAGAAACTGGTTTAAGGTGATCCAAGATGACCATCAGGGAATAGCCAACTAGCACCTCTTACAGAATATAACAAGGAAGACAATCCCAGTCACTAGTAACTGTTAGCCTTGGGAATACCATCATAGATAGTCACTGCCATTTTGCTAGGACAAATGGAATCGAAATCTACCAGTTGAGCACCATCTGCAGAGTGCATCTTGTTAAGCAGCAGCTAACTAACCACAAGACTTCTTCCTTAGCTACTCCCCCTACTTAGCAACCAACTAACCAGCACCCCTTCCTCAAAGCCCTATAAATTGCCCTTAGTCTGTAAGCGGGAAGGCTTCAGTCTTATCTGGAGTCCCATTCCACAGATTTTCCTCCTTGCAATAAATCTGTGTTGCACTTGAACTGCCCATCTCCCATCTCTCTCTTTCTATCTGCTCATTTTCTTGACCTAACAGTAATCATAGGCAACTTCAGCAGATTTAGATGGAGGAAGCACTCTACATCCCACAGAAGACTCTTGGAATGCAGAGGGTGCAAGGAAAAGAAAGAGTGGGTGGCTGACGTTGGAGTTAGGAGACTGTCTCCACCAGGCACTAAGCTCGCATAGGATCAGCAGTCTTGTGTGAGAGGAGGTGAGTGCTCTGGATACCGTCTGAGAAAATTCCCTTCCTCAGAAGCCACATGTGGGTCTTTAATCCCATGTAAGAAGAGCTCTGATTAGGACACAGCAAGGTGCTGCCAGAGCCCATGTGGAGCTGAGTATCCACCCAAGCTCAGAATACCTAATACCCATCCTCTAAGAGTGCAAATGCATTCACTGCTTGCAGTGCCTGACAGCTGGTTCCCAGGCAAAGTCCCAAAAGTTTACCTGCTGGCAGCACTCACTGGGTGTCTGCTGCCAGTATCTGGCAGCCAGCACCCCCACCCCAGACCAGGAAGGTTTGTTTGCCAGCCTCACTTGCCCAAAGGGCAGGTCCCTTCATGGCAGGGTATTTGTGTTTTTAAGTTTTGAGCATGGCCTTTGGTGGGGGAAGGGAGAGTTATGAAAAACACCAGGCAGTTTGGTTTCCCAGTGGGCATGGCTCTGCGATATGGATGGACAGTACCACCACTCTTAGTGCTCTCAGTACTGCCACTCTTAGTGCTCTCAGTGTTGCCTAAGCAGCCAGGAGGCTCATCTCCTCTCCCCATCCCCACAAAGAACTTGTGGGAGTGAGAGAAAGTGGTCTGGCAGGCCTGACCATGGGGAAAACTTTGCAGCATAAAGTCACTTTGAACTATGAGCTCCGCCCAGCAAAAATGGCAGTGCAGTTATAGCTGCCCTTCTCTCTCTCCCTGTGTGAACAGCAGCTAGACCATATATAACTATAAAACAACAAAATAAAAAATAATAATAAGAGAGGAGTTGGTCCTCACCAATGAGGAAGAACCAATGAAAAAACACTGGCAATTTTCAAAGCCTTAAAGAGGCATCACCTACAAAAGCACCTCTCAGTCCCCAAACAATGGAATTCATCCAGAATGACCTATTCCTGATGGCAGACACAGAATTCAGACAATAGATGGCTAGAATGGTTAAGGCAAACCATGAGAAGTTGGAAGCAAACATCATCTAGGCAACAAAAGCAATGCAAGAAATAAAAGCTGAGATAGCCAATATAAGAAAGGTCCAATCTGAAATGCTGAAAATGAAGAATTCCTTCCTGGAATTTAAAAACACAATGATGGACCTGTGTAGTAGAATAGACCAGCAGTGGAAAGAATCTCAAAGCTTGAAGATCAAAATATTAAGTTAACCTAGCCTGACAAAAACAAGGAGAAAAGTCTCAAAAAGAATAAGCAAAACCTACAAGAGGTGTGGGATTATGTAAACAGACCAAATCTGTATTTCATTGGCACCCCTGAAACGGAAGGGGTAACTGAGAACAACCTGGAACAAGCTTTCCAAGAAGTCATCCAAGAAAATTTCCCCTATCTCAATAGACAGGTGACCATCCAAATGCAAGAGATTCAGAGAATCTCTACAAGGTATTCCATAAGAGAACCATTCCCATGTCATATAGTAATCCATATCTACAAGGTAAGCATAAGATAGAAAAAATCCCATCCCAAAGGCAGCTATAGAAAAGGGACAGACTACCTACTGGGGAAGGCCCATCAGAATTGCAACAGTCTTCTCAGCAGAAACCTTACAAGCCAGAAAGAACTGAAGTGCCATCTTTAATGTTCTTAATGATAAACAATTCCAGTTGAGTATTTCTACCCTGCTAGGCTAAGCTTCATCAGTGAGGAGAATTAAAATCCTTCCCAGATATCCAATCCCTATGAGAATATGCCACCTCCAGATCAGCCCTTCAGGAGATGCTTAAGAAAGTTCTGAGCATAGAAATGAAAGAATGATTCCACCCATCGCAAAAATACAGGCAAACATAGAGTTAACAGAGCACATAGATCATCCACAAAAATTCTAAAAAACAGACAAACAAAAAGCAAAGTAACCTGTTCAGAGCATTATGACAGGAATAAACCCTCACATATCAATAATTAGCTTGAACATGAATGATCTGCATGTACCACTAAAAAGGTGTAGAGCAACAAACTGGATAAAGAAACATCATCCAATGTTTTGCTGCCTCCTGGTAACTCATCTCACTGCAAAGGACACCCACAGGCTCAAAGTAAGGGACTGGAGAAAGATCTTTCCAGCAACAGAAAGCCAAAAAGAGCAGGGGTAGCTATTGTTATATCAGACAAAGCAAACTTCAAACCAATTGAAAGTTTAAAAAGACACACTACACTACATAATAAAAGACTCTGGCAAGAAATATCCATCTTAAATATGCATGCACCCAACACAGGAGCAGTCAAATTTACTAAACAATTGTTATGTAAACCAATAGAGGACATAGACAGTCATACAATCATAATCAGAGACTTTAATACCTTACCAACACCCCTAAACAGATCATCAAGGCAAAAAAATCAACAAGGAAATTTGATCTGGAACCTTGACTCGACACTCAACCAATTGGACCTAACAGACATCTATAGAACACTCCATCCAACAACCACAGAGCATACATTCTACTTATCACCACATGGAACATACTCCAAGATTGATCACATTCTCAGTCATAAATCAAGCATGAACGAATTCCAAAAGGTTGAAATAATACCAAGTATCCCAAATCACAGTGGACTAAAAATAAATATCATCACCAAAAAGAAAAGGGAACATGAATAGTTAAAGCAATTCTCAGCAAAAGGAACAAAGCTGGAGGCATGGCACTTCTACACTTTAAACTTTATTGCAAGGTTACAGTGACGAAGACAGCATGGTTTTGGTACAGGAATAGGGCAAATAGACCAATGGAACAGGACAGAGACTCCAGAAATAAAACCAAGGTCCCTCAACCAACTCGTCTTTGACGAAGTCAACAGCAACAAAAATTGGGGAAAGGAAACCATATTTAGCAAATGGTGATAGGAAAACTGGCTAGCCACATGCAAAAGAATTAAACTGGACTACTACTTATCACCATATACAAAAATCAACTCAAAATGAATCAATCTTAAACATGAAACCTCAAACTATATGGATCTTAGAAGAAAACATAGAGAACACCCTCTCTGACATCAGAGTAGGCAAAGGATTCATGGCCAAGTACTCAAAAGCAAATACAACAAAAACTAAGATAGGTGGGACCTTATCAAACTGAAAAGCTATTGCACAGAAAAAGAAACCATCAAGTGACTAAAGTGACAACTCATGGAATGGGAAAAAAAGTTTGCAAAATATGCATCTGACAAAGACCTAACATCCAAGATGTACAAGGAACTCAAAGGAATTAAAAGAAAAACAAAACAAAGCAAACAACCCCAACCCCATTAAAACATGCAAAGGACATGAACAGACACTTCTTAAGGGATAACATGCAATCAATCAACAAACACTTTTAAAAATGTTTTGCTACACTAGTCATCAGACAAATGAAAGTCAAAACTACTATGAAATACCATCTAACACTGGTAAACATGGCTATCATTAAGAAGTCAAAAAACAGCAAGTGCTGGTGTGACTGAGGAGAAAAGGTATTGCTTCTACAACTATTGGTAGAAACGTAAGCTAGTTCAACTTCTGTGAGAAGCAGTTTGGCAATTTCTCAAATAACTAAAAACTGAGCTTCCATATGATCCAGCAATCCCTCTTCTGGGAATATATAGACAGGAATATAAGGTGCTCTACCAAAAGGACATCTGCACACACATGCTTATTGCAGCACTATTCATAACAACAAAACATGGAACCAACCCAAAGGTTCATCAAAAGTGGACTGGATAAAGAAAACGTGGTACATATACACAATGGAATATTATGGGGCCAAAAGAAGAACAAAATCATGGCCTTTGCAGCAACTTGGATGTGACTAGAGATCATCATACTAAGTAAGTCATCACAGAAACAACTAAATACCACATGTTCTCACTCATAAGGTGACCCCGATCACTGATTATACTAGCACAAGGGTGGAACTGGCAGATGCTGGACAGTCTTTTGGAGGGAAGGAAGAGTGAGTGGAGCACAGGGTTATACACTGGATACCTGGTCCACTCTCAGGGGAAGAGAGGGCCAGCTAGAAGCCCAAACTTCACCTTCATGCAACCTACTTATATAGCAAATCCCCACTTGTACCCCATAACTTTAAAATAAAAAAGAAACTAGTTTAATGTTTAATTTTATGAGACAATTTTGATCATTCAGAGTTTAACTATTCAGTGTATGAATTGTAACATCTATTGCTTTACCCGCTAGGCTAGCTGTTCCTAGATGGCTTCTAGGAAGTATAGAACCACAAGAGTGTTCCATCTCAAACAGGAACATTAAAAAAAAATTAGCTACATCCCTCCTCTCACCTTATATTCCTACTCTTATTTTACTGCTGTCCAAATTTCCTCCCCAATTATACTCTGTTGTACAGAATATATTTAGCATTAAAAATGTAACAAATCATTTGGAAGGTGGAGTACATAAAAATACTAGTTAAAGAGTAAATTGACAGGCACACACAATTTGAATTATCATCTTTTTGCTCTACAGACCCATGGTAGTCAAGAGATAGTAGAGTCTATGGAGGAAATAATTTCTTACCAGAACAGAATATACTCTTGGAATCAACCTTCACTTTCCCTACAATTCCTGACAAGAAATCAGGCCAGGCTAACACATTTCCTCTATTGAGTTCCTCTGGGCAAGAGGTAGCCAGCGATTTCACCTGAAAGTTTAAAAACATGTTTTTAGATAAGCCTTACTTGTTTCATGAAGATGGCGTTATTACATCTTAATTTAATACTACAGAAAACATCTGCAGAGTTATTGGAGGTGGGGGTGGAAGAAAGCAGGCTTTTACAAAGTATGATTGCAGGGGAAACAGGAAAATTATCTTCCTTCTCCCCCCTCTCTCCTGCATCATTCCTCTCAACTATTTCTCCTATTAGACTCGTTGTTGCCTGAAATTTTGAAATCCTACACATAGAATTTCTTGTCTAAAGTTCTGCAGTTTATTAAGGGGTCTCAGAGAGCCCCTTTCTCCATTATATATCTTTGACATTGGACATAGAGATGAGGAAACAGGGGCTTAGAGAAGTTTTCCCACTGTGCCAGTGAGTGAACATTCATCAAGCCCTTACCAAGGACTAAGATACCACAACTGCATATGCAGAATTTTGCTTAATCCTGTCAAAACTTTGATATATAGTTATATTTATCTATCTTTTATAGATAAGAAAATGGAAACTTAGAGAAACAAAATATGTTCAAAATAATCACAGTGAGTTCATGGTAAAACTGGGGATTTGAACCCTGGCTGTTTGACTCCAGGCTGGTTTTAACCACTAGCTCATGTTTTGCTATCTATGGATGATCTTGTGCCAGTCCTAAATTTCTTCATCTTCAGTCAGAAGGATTTGTAGCGTTATTCTTTATGATTCTTTCTAGCTCTGGAATTCCACAATTTTACAAAATAATCACTATCAGTAAAATTTAAGAATATCACCAAGAAACTAAAAAGGGTATTCATCGAAAATTACTGAAGATGATTTCTGCCTAACTTTATCTATGACCATAGCATCAGATAATATTGGTGATAAATTCTGATAACAAAGAGCTTACAATAAGATATATTATTAGGCTGTTCACATTTTTACTAGGTTTGTACCTTTGCATCTCATTACTGTCATACACTGAAAATGGAATTGACCTGCTGTGGAGACAGGACATAGTCCCAGAGGTTGAGCTGGCTTATAGAGCCCACAAAAGATTCAGCTGGGTTGAATCCCTCTCCTTTTTTGTCTTGCTCTTGTCCCAGAACTAATGAACCACCACCTAAAGAGAAAGAAAAAGAGAAAAAAGGGGGAAAAATTGGCCTGATGGTCTGTTATTTCTAAAATGTCAACTTAATGTAAGCTTGGTCAATATACAAGAGGGGGGACCTCCCCAAAACTGGAGTTATCTTTTGGAGGGAAGGACCCTTATAGTAGTACACTTGGAATTTGTTCTTCTGGATCAGATGGTCAACCAAAGTTTTTATGTGGAAGTTTTGATAAGGTTGTATCACGATATGTGGAAGAAATGTCTCAAGTTGTGGCAAACAGGTGACTGGTGTTTCCACCATGACAACACACCTGCCTACACCATGTTGAGTGTTCAACAGTTTTTCACCAAAAATGGCATGACCCTTATGCTCCACCCTCCCTATTCACTTGATCTCACCCTGAGCAACTTTTTTTGTTTGTTTGTTTCCCTGGATGAAAAAAGTCTTCAAAGGGAAATGCTTTGATGAAATGGAAGAGATGAAACAAAAAACGGCAGAAGCACTAAAAGGCATCAAAATTGATGAGTTCAAAAACTGTTTCAAGCAGTGAAGAAAAAGTATCTAGTTGAAACATAAGAATAAATGCACAATTTTTATACATAAATTCTGACTTTTGGGAGGTCCCCCTTGTAAATATATGAAAGGAATTACTAAAAAGCTAAATTATATAGATTTACTGCATGTTTTATCAATAAAAACAAATTCAATGTTTTATGTAGCGACTTAAAAAGTCAGATAAGATTTAGAATATTATATTGGATTTATAAATTTGTAACCAATAAAAACCATAAACAATACATATAAAATATTATATATAATATATGTACATATACAATACATACATATGCATATAATATTTTATGTCAATCAAATAGATAAGGCCTATTTTACTCACTTTCTGTTAGGAAATTGCCGTCCATAGAAGCAACTGCTGTCTATGTTTCTTAATCCTTTTCTTAGGCTACAATGATATAATTTCTATCACCAAATACAGGGACCCTCCTAGGTTGTCAGTGGTCTCCTAATTGCCAAATTCAATAGAAACTTCAGCATTCATCTCTGTAACTTCTCTGTATCATCTATTTCCCTTAAGTATTTTATCCTATTAAGCTGTCCTGCCTGGGTGTGCTGGATTTCATTCTATTAAACTGTTCTTCCTGTGTGTTTGCTGTGCCAGATCTACCTTTTACCCTTCTCTATTCTGCTTTGCGCTCTGAAGCTTGTCCCCTATGAGCTGCACCACTTGTCCTCCTTGTCCTCTGGCTTCTCTTCCTGTCTGGTTAGTGGAAGGACCACTATGAGACAAGTCAGTGGGATGAGAGAAAAGTTTAATCTCCTGTTTTCCTTCCTGCCAGGCAACTGAACTGGAGAGACTTTTTCTTCTATTTCTGGAGAGACTGAATGATTCTCTCCATCACTGCAGGTTTGACTAAATTTTGGCAGCAACTCACACCTTGTCACTTCAGCTCCAACCCTTGCAACCTTCCATTGTTGCTAGTCATGTGTATTTTACTATCATCTTTTGTTTCTCTTAACCATGACCACACCTTTAAAAACAGTTCTTCATTAAACTCGCTTTATGAGTCTCTTGTTTCCTGCCAGGGGCTTGACTGGTTGCACTTGGTTTCATCAGAGTGTCCTCTACTGTTTCCATTGAAACTTTCTGCTCATTCTCATTCTCTCTTCTCTGCCTGCCTTTTAGAAGCCATCCCAGGATTTCATCTGTGACTCTCTTCTTCCTTCAATTACTCTTTCTGTTTGATCTAATTTGCCTGTCAATCAATGTCTGTGGATCTCTCTCATGATTTTTCAAGCTACATATTTAAAAAATAAAATTAGTTTAGAAATTAGTACATACATAGAAGAAAAATTTAAAAATAAATTGTAAAGAATTCCCCTTACCAAGAAATAATAATTTAATAGCGTTGTGTGTTTCCTTCCAGGTTCTTATTTTTATTATTATTTTTAAAGTATATGTGTGTATGAGATACTTTAAAACACACAACTCAGGATGATACTACATAAGATGCTTGAATCTTGCTTTTCTTCTTGAACGTGCTCCCATTTCATGAGTTTTAATAGTGATGCTACTTTACCACATGATGCATAACAATCCATTGTTTGCTTAATTAATTTAATAGCCACTTATTACTAGATATTGGAGTTGTTTCCAAGTTTGATATTAAAAAAACACTTAGATCACCATATTTATAAACTTTTTTTGTTCAGATAATTGATTATTTCCTTTAGATTGATTACTGGGAGTTAAATTGATAGTTGCATGCAAAGGGTTTCTCTAAAGCTTTTGATGCAAGTTTCTAAATTGCTTCTCAGAAAGGTTGCATCAATTTCTGCCAGCACTCTCTAAAAAGTCTGCCATGCTAAATTCTTGCCAATTGTATTCTATCACTAAAAACAACTTTGCCAATTTGACATAAAGCAGTATCAGACAAATTTTTAGCTGCATGCATTTCTTTGACTAGAAATTTAAAAAGTCCTCAAACTCAAAATATGTCTAAAACCAAATACAGAATCTTTTTCCTTCTCACTGACAACTTCTTTTCCTAGAGTTATCTTAGCTAACAGTCTCTTCAATCAACCTGGTCACCCCAAATGAACTCATCCTGTCACTGCTATGAACTGAATTGTGTCCCTGAAAAATTCATATTTTGCAGCTCTAAATTCCCACTGTGATGGTATTTGGAGATGGGACCCTTGGGAGGTCATTAGGTTTAGTTGAGGTCATGAAGATGATGCCATCATGATGGGATTAGTGCCCTTATAAAAAGTGCCATTATAAAAAAACAACAGAAAGCTTGTTCTCTCTCTCCCTGCCACATGATGATGCAATGAGAAGGTAGCTAGCTATGTACAAGCTAGGCAAAGATTCCTCACCAGAAAATGACCATACTGGTTCCCTGATCTCAGATTTCTAGTCTCCAAAACTGGGAAAAAATTAATTTATATTATTTAAGCCACCTAGTCTATGATTTTTTTTTTTATTTACAGCAATCTAAGTAGACTAAGACAGCCACTGAGGCTGCCAGCTGGAGCTCTGCAATATTTATGGACTCTAATTCATCCTAGTTGTTCTTATTGCTATGATCAGACAATCATTTCCTTAGGTGGTTACTTTTTAAGAGATTTCTGGTTTTATGTTTCTGTTCTTTGAATATACATCTCACTCTTCCATCAGAATTCACTGTTTAAGATATAAATGCCCATTTTTTAAACCATAAAAGAAATATGTGTTCATTATGAAAATATCACAAAAGAATACATAAGAAAATAAAAATCACCTGCAATCTTACTATCCAGAGAAGAGATAGTTGAAAACAAGAACACACTAACTTGAACACGAAAAGAAACCAACATCTTACTTCATTTGATAATGCCACTTGCTATTGTAATACCTTTAATGTCTCCTAATTTACTGAAGGAGAAATTGTATATTCCTTGAGGGGATCTAGAGCTCACAGTCTATCACTAGTTTGCATTTCAGCTTTTTTCTCGATCATGTCCTTTTCCCCTTCTCCTCCACACATGCTGTGCTATAGTTCCAGGGAACTGCCAACCATTCCTCCTCACACAAAACCCACTTATGGCTTTCTGTCTCTGCATGTAGAGCTCCTTCTGTCTGAGATGCCCTTCTCCATTCTTGTGACTCATCCTTCAAGACACAGGATAGTTAAATTCAGCAGATGTTTATGAAGCTACTGAAGATGTGCTGTCTACAATACCAGGCATGGGGCTTATACAGAGGAAAAAGCAGAGATAAAGATTTCCTGCTTCTGGAAGATTATAATTCTAAGGGAAAACTCATACACAAATACTTTCCAATATGGTGTGGTTAATGCAACAGTGGAGGCATGCAGGGTGATAGAAAACTGAATGGAAAAGCTAAATGAGGAAGGTCAGGAATCAGGAAAGGTGTTCAGACTTGGATCTTGATGATTAAGAGTTAATCTCATGCAGAAGGATCCATGATGAGTTTCTAGGCAGAGGGGTGAGTAAAATGCAAGAAAGAATTATATAACATGGTGTGTATGATAGAAACTGAAGGTTTCCATCCATAACCTCCTGGGTCCCTTCACCAATCTGTGTGCTTTAGTTTCTAATGGTCTCATGACTGCTCCATCTGCAGACATGTATCAATAGACTGATCCAAGTAGAAAAGGCAGAAGGAACCATGAAAAGGGCATGGCACAGCCATAAATTAAAGGAGCTACACTCTAGAAATGCAATTTGAGACAGTTATTTTAACTTTTCTGGATCTCTCTGTTTTCTTATTACTAAAATGGTAATAACTACTCTCTATTAAACTCACATGATTGTTGTGACAAAAACATTGAGTAAATTTATGTAAAATAATTATTTGTTTTGAAAGGTCAGTTAGGCATAAATAGTATTAAGATGAAGTTTAGTTTTTGTACTGGTTTCCTGTTCAAGTATATTTAGCAAAGAGGCAAAGGATGATAGAAAAAGGTATTTTAAATTTATCAAGAATTATTTCATCAAATCACCTTGTCAAATATTGCTCTATTATTATAAAAATGATTAAATAATTTGCAAAGGTAGCTTCTATATTAATCTTCCAATACTCCCATCTTGCAACTACCTGTTTAATGCTTCTAGTTTGCCTGTGTTTCCCCTTCTTTCCCCTCCAAATTAATCTCTCCTATATATTTTGTTACAAATCACTCCCCCCTACCTAAATTCACTAACCTTCCTGAGTTTCCTTCTTTCTCTTCTTTTCACAGTAGGATGTGTGTCCCTGATTATACAGCTAGAGCTGCCCTTTGAGGTTGTCATTTCTATAACTTCAGCATGCAAAGGTTGCCCTGCTGTCTGTTTGAAGACTGGCAAATGCTTAGTGAGTGGATAGACATCCAAGAATCTGTCTGTATGGTTCATCCATCTCTTTAATTATTTAGGGAATCATTAAAGGAAGAACTGCTTTCTCTTTCGATTTTCATGTCTTCCAAGTTTTCCTCCTTGAAGAAGCATAACGAATGCTTCTTATGGTTCTGATATTAACTCTTAATGACTTCCCTTCAATGGAGTGTTCTTTCTTCCTCTGATTAGAGGCCTCTTTGTTGTTTAGGGATTTTTACATATGCCTTCTTGCTTCATTCTGATCATGTCAGGAACCACCTGAGCTATTCTTCCTGCCATCTCCTCCAGGTATTTTAAAACCCAAGAGTGACTTACCATTGATTTCAGGGTGCAAAACCTAAATCCTTAACCCACTCTACAAGGTTTTACATAATTTGGCATTGACCTTCCTTTCTAGCTGCATGCCCTGTGTCCCCCCTTTCAGTCTGCACTTCAGTCTGCATCAGCTTGTATCAGTCTTCTTCTAGCTCTTTAAACAAAGCTCAATCACCTTCATTAGTTAGTGCTTGGTCATCCTTGAGAATTTAACTAGGATATCTCTCCACTCCTTCACTAACTCTTCATTCTACATCAGCTCCTTGGTTACAGACTTTCATAGAATGTTTCTTTCCTCCATAGTGCTTACCTCAGTTTGAAATTACACATTATTTAGAAATTTCAAAAAAATAAAATAAATGTGATTTGAGGCTTTGCAAAGGTAATCTCATCACATTTTCATGAAGATTAGTATTCTTTTGCACTATATTTATTAGTATCTTTATCCTAATTCCATATAACTTCCAGAATGTATTAGCTAACTTCTAATATTTTAATTCATTTTTGTTCATTTAATTTTCTTTTATCCAGGAATCATTTTTATATCTGAAACAAATGAAGAGAGTAAAAAATAAAGTCATACACATATGTGCCTGTAGACATATCTAGATAGAGCAAGCTTATTGACATGTACAAGGTTGGGGACCCTGGGTCACCTAATGCTTTTGCATTTCTTCAAACTAAAACTTTCTGAATATTTGTTTTAAAGTATTTTCAGAAGAGAGGTTGAATTCTTTTTGAAAAGGAGCATAAAAGATGAATAGTTATTAGCAGTGGTCCAGCTTGTACACTAATCACAAAACAAAGCAAAATCCCTCAAATGAAAAAAACAAAAGACACCAGCAATTAATCTTCCCCTTGGAAGACACTTTAACAACCACCTGTTAGTTCATTGTGCTTCTTGGTAGTCTTAAGGCATTTCTCACACAGAGATTCACATAGATCACCTGGGCAAAGCTTCTACTGATCCACAATCAGGATTATCAGGGAGTAATATATGAGAGAGATAGCCATTGATCTCTGTTTTAAGCCAAGGATAACAAAGCTAGAGAACTTGATGTTCATTTATGCACCACCATCTCTAGAGTCTTAACAAAACTATACTTATTTTTCTAAGACATACCAGGTATGGCCGAACCAACTGAGAGACCTACACCACCATCAGATAATTTCCCATCAATATAGACTTTCCAGGATCCACCGGCACTTGTCCAGGTGATTGCAATGTGATGCCATCTGCCATCATTCACTGCAGGACAGTCTGTTATCCTTTCCTTGCCATTCACGTAAAGAACCCAGCTGTGGAGAGACAGATTCCAAGGAATATAGTCATTAGTCATATGTTGCAATCCTTTCCGTGGGGCATGTGCCTATTTTTCCTTTTTTGTGGGTAAAGTATATTGTGTAAACCCATTACTCTTTTTTCTCCATTTGGTCACATTTCATAGAAGCAGATCTGATTTACTAATTGCACTTTATTGTAGTTCACTGAAAATTGGTTTGTGTTTCTTAAACACTGAGAAGTAGGAAAAAGTCTTAGGATGAGCCAAGAGAGCTTGCTCCAATTTGAGACAATTCACCAACTAGCTGTTTTGGAGAGAGTGAGTCAAGAGTGGAAGGAGTGAGAATTATATAAATGTCAGACTGACATTCCTCCTCTAGAAGTTTCTTAAGACCAAGAACAAAGTTCAGGTGTCTCATAGAAAGTAAGCCTGTCTCATGGTTACTGCTATGGCCTGCCTATTTACATTCTCTCAAAATTTACATGCTGAAACCTAATCACCAATGTGACTAGGAAGGGGTACCTTTGGGAGGTGAGTAGGTCATGAGGACTCCAAAGACACCTAAAAGAAACCACCTGCCTCCTTACTATGTGAAGACACAGTAAGAAGGTGCAGTATATGAACCAGAAGTGGGTCCTCACCAAATCTGCTGGCACCATGATCTTGGGCTTCCCAGTCTCCAGAACAGTGAGAAATATATTTCTGTTATTTATAAACCACCTAGTCAATGCCATTTTGTTATAGTAGCTTGAATGGACCAAGACAGTTGCCAAAATTGTCACATGGAAGACAAAATACATTAATCCAAAAAGAAGAATAACTGGAACTAAAAAAGAATGGCTAACCAAAACTAATTTCCAATAACCTTGTCACCCAGGGAAATGACAAAGGTAATAAGCAATTTAAAGTGAAAGAATCTCCAAAAGCAATTGGAAAAATATAAGTGATTAGATAAAAGTGATAAGGAGGATAAAAATTCATTGAATACTTCTACCAGACCCTACTCAAAGATGTTTATGAAAAAATAATATATGTGAAATATTACTTGTTGCCTTTCTGCATTTTCCAATTTTTTTTCTCCCAGTTCAAGCAGGGAACAGATTCTCTCTCTCTAGTTTGTCTCAAGGGAAGTTTTTTTTTGCATACTTCTTGGATTTTTTTTTCTTGAAGCTCACTTAAAGTTTACTAAGAAGAATAGTGTTTGAGGATAGATGATTTCTACTAGAATAGAGAAAGTCTCAGGATTTAGGAGAAGAAAGAGAACTCAGTGAGTTTCTGATGCCTGCAAGCTACTGTTTAGTAGGCCAACAATTTGGGTGGATCTGAGAGGAAAAGGCTATGTAGTGCCACAGAATCTGTACAGATTGAAGATATAACTTGAAGACTTGTCAAGGATTCCACATGTGGGAAAAAGCAGTATTCTTGAAGGCCAATTCAGTGGACAGCTCAGTGATAAGCAGTATGAACAGTTGACTAATGACAGAAGTCCTGCTCCAGTCTGTGGCTGTTTATAAAAACTCTGGGTTATAACTGAGGTTCACTCTCCTGACAGCTCAGAGGGATAGGGGCCCTGGAGTTGGAAATAATTGATTCTAAAGAAATAAAGAAGTGTCATATTGCACACTGAGTTTGTAGGTTAATTTATGCTCAACACAAATGTTTCTCATTGGTCAATAATGTCACTGAAATCCCTTAATCTTTGGAGGTCTTGTTATGTAAAAGAAGAGCATCAGTCTTAAAGTCAGAGTTTGAGACTTAGCTCTGCTACTTCCAGGGTATAAGGTTTTGGACAAATCATTTAGACTTTCATTTGTTTTACTATATGTAAGATGGGCATGGGCTCCTCAGGTCATTGTGAAGATTAAATGAAGGAATACATATGAAAATGCTCAGTAAATACCTAGTAAACAGCAAAAAACAATACATGTATGAGGTATTATCACAAAAATTTTGCCTTCCTACAGAACATATCTAGATGCTCTGTGTGATCATTGTCACTCTGCTGTTCTGTGGGAGACCCTCTTCCTCTTCCCTCCCCTATCTTCAATGTCATTTCTAACCTAGTGCCAGGATAAAGTCCTAAGCATAACTTTTCTAATGCTTCTGCTTACCCATTATAATCAGTCAGAAGGAAGGCATTGTCCATGCCATTCTCGAGTGCATAAGAGATTGGAGTTCCATAGTTGATGTTGTCGGAAGTTTTCATCCAGAATGTGCAGGTTACAGCATGGAGAGATGGAAGCACGCCATCTAGTATGACGTAACCATAGATACCAGAAACTTCGAAATCCAGGTTGAAACCTGTAGACTGTTCTACAACAAATAAGAAAAGTGTGCAGTCTGTGGCACTTGCAAGGCATTTCCAACTGTCTAGGGTCAGTAGTAGGCAAGCAGTACTATTGTTAAATAAGCTCATTTCAGTGTATATGATTATTTATCTGAGAAGTGGTTTCAAAGTTCAATATATATTATTTTCAAAATGCATCACATTCTTTTAAATAAAATAATTAGTGAGTATATAAGATACAAAAATCACTCAGTAGTGAAAAGAAGCAGATTCATAGAAAGTAGTTGGAAGGAGAGGTGGAATTGGGATATTATAAAAGCTGAGAGATATTAAAGCATGTCTTCATGCTGATGAGAATGACTCAGTAGAGAAGAAGTAATTGATATGGCAGGAAAGAAGAAGGAGGTGCCAAAAAGGCAACACCTTGATTCTACTCAGGGTTCTGGTTTTCCCTATTTTGCAAACAGTTCAGCTCTGCCCCAAATCTGCATAGCTCACTCAAAAAAACAAAAGTCTTACAGCTAAAATACTCCAGTTTCTGACAAAGCAATTTAGCCTTGATCAACTGATTCCCAAACATGTCCACAGATTCCTACCTTTTAAGTCAAGCGATTTATCGAAGTGTCCTTTCTAAACATGTAGAATGTGAAGATTTCTGCTAAATTCATTTTTGTTTTATTCCCCCTTACATTTCTAAGCTTGAATTTACTTATTGTATTGAGCTTAATAATAGTACTTAGTTTATTGGTTGGCTGTGAAGAGTAAATGAGTTCAAAGTGCTTAGCACAGTTTTTGGCATGCAGGCAGTACTTGGTGCAGGTAAAAATTGATATTGCTATTATACTGCTGTTTTAGTATTGTTATTAATAACATCGAGTTGATATGTACCTGTTTCACACCTGCTACCTGAAAATCCTGGTTGACATTTACAGCTGTATGAGTTTAATTCATCCACACAGGTGGCTTGATTTTTACATGGGTTAGACTGACATTCATTGATATTCAATTCACAGTGTGACCCTGTGAAGCCCTCTGCACATTGGCATCTGAAAGAAAACAAAATGTTATAATAATTATAATAGTTGGAACTGGGTGATCTTTACTGGGTCTCTGAATTTGATGGTAAATCTATTTCAGTTAGATTTTTACTCGCCTTTATCTTCCCATGTTTGATATCATTACAACACTATCATATTCGGGAATGAAACAGGTTCACTTTGTCAACAACCTACATTTCTTCTGAATTAGGAGAGTTTATGTTCATTTTTTCCTCTAGTTAGGATTTAGACAACATCGGGACTTCCAATTGTTTTGAATTTGGAAGTCTTGATGTTCATCTGGAAATTTCTCATTGCTATTGAAAGGTGTTATATGCCAGAAAATGTAAAGAGCCAATGAGAAGAGATACTACACTGGTAAGACCTAATTTCCATATTGAAGGTAGAAGTCTCACTGGCAGAATTGCCTTTCTATTTCTTCTGGATATTGCCTTGGTTGTTTGTGGGAGGATGGTAATGAAAAGGGCTGAACTAGAAGGGAATTGGGAAATATTGCAACTAGGGTTGACTTTTGCTTTGATTCATAAAATTATGGAACAAATAGCATCTTGAGGACAATAAAGTTTCCCAAGATTTTGCAAGCAAGATAATCTCTTCAGTACTGCAGAAGTACTGTCTTCTGTACTTTTATAAGTAGGGGATGGGATGGGACAGTCTTGAAAATGATGACAGGAAAGGGTTGTTCTTCAAACTGTATTCTATTGGTACCCTAAGAACTGCCTCCCCCTCAGACACTACTATTTTCAGCTACAAAAGCTTAGCTTTTATTATTATTTTTTTTTTACCCTCATACTAGATTCCTTTTGAAAGAAGGGTAACTGACTAAAAAAAAAAAAGGAAAGCCATGGACATAGAATAGAGATGGTCACTATGACAGTATGACTGCACAGTCTATTTTGACTTTATCTAGTGTAAAAACTTAATATAAAACAAAACTTTTTAAAAGATGGGTTTTGTCTATTGCTATTGTATTTACTTCTGTGTAATTATATTTCATCTTTTATAACTTCCCAAGTATAGAACATTGATTCTCAAACATGACTGTGTCTCAGAATTATTGGGAAACTTAAACTATTGCAGATTGCCTAGGCTCTACTCCAGGCTTAGTGAAGCAGCACCTTAAGCGGTGGAAAGATTCTACAGTAGCCTATCCTTGGGCCAACATTAGAGAATGGCTGTTTTGAGACTCAAAGAAAATGCTTCACAAAAATTGCATAATGACTGAATAGTAGAAAATAGAAATAGGAAAAGAACCAGACATTTTTTTAACCTGTAGCTATTGGCACCATCTTCACAAGTAGCCCCATTTTTGCATGGCTGACTGAGACATTCATCCATGTTTTTTTCACACCGGGTACCCAAAAATCCAGGTGGGCATTTGCACAAGAACCTCCCAACCTGGTCTTCACAGACTGCATTATTTAAGCACGGGCTTGACTGGCATTCATTGACTTCTGTTTCACAGTGTAAGCCTGGGGATACACGAGGAAGAGAAAGAGCCCAAATGATTAACTCCCTGGGAAAACTGTGATCAAAGTGTTGACTTCTTAGAGGATGCTGTTTCTAAAGACTTGGAGTAGAGGTTGCAGAATCACTGGGCTATCACACTGGTTCAAGATCCATTTTGTAATGAGCTCTGGCTTTTGTAAGTCATTTTAGGATTCTGCGCTTTTTATAATCTACTCTTTTATCTTACTTCTTTCTGCAACTAAGCTTAGTAACGGACAACTTATTGAGATACTGTTAAAAAAGAAAGCCAGTAAATCTCATTCAAAACTTTCCACCGTTTCTTTGACCTCTTTTTCCTTCACTGGCAGTCTTCTTTCTTGACTTCCTTTTTACCCATTAAGTAAACCAATTGAGTAAAACCATTTTTAAACCATACTATTTTGCATCCATTTGCACTTAGATCTTACATGATTTATCTCCAGTTCTTTCTTGAAAAATTGGCTACACACACACACACACACACACACACGCACACACACACACACACATGCCTTTTTTTCTGAACTGTTTGAGAGTAAATTACAGAGCTGACATCTTTTTACCCCAAACACTTCAGCATGTATTTCCTCATAAATGAAGATTTTCTTTTATATAATCACAGTACAGTCATAAAATCCCAAAATAACAGTAATATATTATGTTAGGTAATGTAATAATTGGTGGTGCCTTACAAGATTTTAAGACATTGTAGGAAGACTGGAAACATCTTACCTATGTATCCTTTCATACACATGCAATGATAGCCAGCCAAGCCATCAACACAGGTTCCTTTATTTAAACAAGGACTGGAACTGCACTCATTTATATTTTCTTCACATAGCCGACCTGCAAAGAATCACAGGATCCTTGAGCTGAAAAAAACTGAAAGGACTTTAAAACTCATAGTTTCTAAGAAAGTTGTTCAGGTGTAGGAATAGAGCAATTGGAAATTATGGTTAATATGTTTGTGAAAAATTTAGCTGTTTACTAAATATGTTGAAATAAAATGTTTTCTTTCATTCTGTGAACTACATTTTCTAGAAGAAACTTAACATTTTCAGCATGCAATGTAAAATGACAACTGTGAATATCTGACCATACTTTTTTAGTTAAAAAGATAAGTGTGATTTTATTTGTTTTCTCATGTTTTTTGTGTACTGGCTGCTCACCCTTTGTTGAGTTTATACCTTTTACAGTTAAGAGGTGACAGTTATGAAGTAGGCAAACAATTATAGGAGAAATATACTGAACAAAGAAAATTACTAATTTTGTTTTGAATACTGGAAAAGTACAGTCAAATTTCTATGCAGCGATTCCATATTCTGTGTGAACATAATTTGAGAACAACTGATGGAATTACAGCCTTTATTTTATACACCTAGAAACTGAGACCCAAAGAAGTCTGTGACATTACCAAAGACAGATACAGAAGTAAGCCTTAAGCCATAAATCTTCAAATTCAGGTACGTATGTACAAAGACTCCTTGGGTTGAAAAATTATGCTTAGCCAGGCATGGTGGCTCATGCCTATAATCCCAGCAATTTGGGATACCGAGGCGAGAGGATTGCTTGAGCACATGGGTTCGAGACCAGCCTGGGCAATCTGGCGAAACCTCACCTCTACAATTAAAAAAAAAAAAATTGGCTGGGCCTGGTGGCACATGCCTGTAGTTCCAGCTACTTGGAAGGCTGAGGTGGAAGGATTGCCACTGCTCTCCAGGCTGGGTGACAGAATGATACTCCAACTTGAAAAAAAAAGGAAAGTTATGCTTAAATTTATAACTCATAGAATTATGTTTCAGATATCTAATGATTTGTGTACCTTAACAGCATGAAAATGTGCTGAAAGAAAATTTCACCAATAAAAGTCAGTTTTTGAGAATAGCAAATCTAATGTCAAATCTATACTTTTTTACAGACCATAATGAGCATTTGTACAGTAAATCCACACAATAAATTCAATGTTTAGTAAACAGCACAATATATTTAAAGTGCAGTAATTATGTATTTTTAAATTTAGAAGCTTGGATGTATTTTTCTCATTATGTGTCTGTCATTCTGGTCACATATTTTTACTAGGATTCAATTCTGGGTATCACTAACTTGAGATTTGGAATTTTAAATAAAGAAATGTATTATTGTAGAGTTGCATCAACCATATGCACATGACAGAGAGAGAGGGAGAGAGATAGGAAAGAAAATTGAAAATTGGGCACGCAATTTGGCTATAGATCCTGCTGTTGAACACGTACCCTGGGTGGGGGTGATAAGTGTAGAGATCTGCAGCCTGTCTGTTCACATTAGTTGATAGAATACTTTACCACTTTATCAAGTGCAATATCAAGTCCACTGTACTGGACAGCTGATTTGAGGGATTCTCAAAGGCAATTCTGACTGTTTAAATATCCCCCATATGAAAACTTTTGAATTAAACTTCCAGATAAAATGTGATTCTACTGTATAAATTCAATGTATCTTCTCATATGACTGGGACCACTACTGTACAGATTCAAAATGGAGAAAAATATATGAGTTGGTCCAAATGATAACTACTATAAATTATAATGTTAACCTTTTTCTTTTTCTTTTTTTTTGAGTTGGAGTCTCACTCTGTCGCCCAGACTGGAGTGCGGCGATCCTTCCGCCTCAGCCTTCTGAGTAGCTGGAATTACAGGCATGCGCTACCACACCCGGGTGATTTTTTGATTTGTTGTAGAGATGAGGTCTCGCCAAGTTGCCCAGGCGGGTCTCGAACCCGTGGTCTCAGGCAATCCACTCACTCAGCCTCCCAAAGGTGCGGGATTACAGGCTGAGCCACCGAGCCCGGCTATGTTAACCTTTTTCATTTCTTTATGAAAATTGTTTTTAGATGATAAAATTATTAGACTATAGCTCTTTTGAAGTGTTATATGAATTTTACTGAACTTATTATACTGTAGAAAATTATATGCCTACATATATTAAAATATATATTCAGATATGTCTTTAGTATAATAATCTTGTTAGTTAAGTACAGAACTAGATGATTTAGATGATCCCAATACTTTCTCTAATAATATTAGGTTATTATTGTCTTGTAAAATAGTAAATATTTTAATTTGTGAAATATATTACCAATATTGCAATAATTATAATGTGATTGAACAAGGAAAATGAGAATAAGATCAATGCTTCCTGACTACCTTTTTGTGAGGGAGTGTTGGAAGTCACAACTCTCTGACTTAAATGAGATATACACTAAAATTTATGTATCCTTTAAGTTAAAAGAAAAGGCACAATGGCCCATAATAATTCCAAGGATACAAGCACCTGAAGTTTACAGTTAGTAATAATCACACACACACATACACATGTACATTCATAGAAATAAGCACACACATACTTCATAAATTCAGTAAAATACTAAATCCTGGGGAGGACCTAGTATCTAGTATTTGTCCAGCACTGAACCAGGCTTTACATAGTTCCTCTAATTTTCTGCCTCCATTTTTACATAAGAAGAAACAGGTTTAGAGAAGTTACATGGCTTGTCCCAGGTCACCCATCTAGCTTGCAATGATGGAACCACGTCCACCTGTTTTAAAAAAACCTCACGTAATTTCATACCGCCAAATTGATATCTCATTTTTTTTACATAATGGCATAATGAAAATAACACTTTCCTAATGTATATAAATAATAGAAAATATACCTCCTCAGTATGTTTATAATACCCTATAAATGTATACTAACATTTATAATATTTACCTCAGTGATGACATCTTAATGATTCCAAGCTTTTTTTTTTCATGTATGTGTGTTTGTTATAATGGCACATGCATTGACTAACAAGACTCATTATCTCCATTCTATGTGTAAGGAAATGGAGGCTCAGAGAGGTGAGCTAAATGCCTCTGGCACAAAGCTAGCTAGTGGCAGTGCTATGTTGGGACACCCAGGTCTCTGCTCCAAAGCCTGTGCCAAGCACTAACCACAGAGGGGAACTGCCTCATGCTGCCTGACTCAGCTCAGTGATTCCAAGCTTTATATTGCAAAAAAGAAGAAATTTTCCTCTTACCTGTGTAACCCTGTGGACACTCACAAATGAATTCCCCAACTCCGTCTTTACAAATTCCATTGTTGAGGCATGGCAGAGAGCTGCACTCATCGATGTCTGTTTCACACTTTAAGCCTAAAATGCAAACCAAGCACTGAAGGACAATCCAAGAGAGGGATTAATGGAAAACAGAACCATCATCATTTAAAGGTAATTGTTTCAATAATCTGAGTTTATAGGGGGGCAGTGGTGAAGAAAACGGCAATTCGTTAAGTGCTACTGCCTATTAAGAACTTAATGTAGGCACTACCTCTTTCTAAATAGATTTAAGATATCCTTATAAGAACTCAGTGGCTCAGCCTGTAATCCTGCGCCTTGGGAGGCTGAGGTGAGTGGATTGCCTGAGCCTGCGGGTTCGAGATCCGCCTGGGCAACTTGGAAAGACCTCATCTCTACAATAAACCAAAAAATCAGCTGGGCGTGGTAGCGTGTGCCTGTAGTTCCAGCTACTTGGAAGGCTGAGGCGGAAGGATCGCCGGAGCCCAGCGGGCAGGGAGCGGCCACTGCACTCCAGTCTGGGTGACAGAGTGAGACTCCAACTCAAAAAAAAAAAAAAAAGCACATAAAAGAAAAAGAAGTGGAGTTGGGAGGACGTGCACATATAAACTAGAGCTAGGAGTTATATTAATTCCAACGTGAAAATATGATGTCATATATACTTGCTCCACTTAGATGAGGAGTGGAAGGAGAACTAAATCCTGCCAGATCTCAGTTCACATGCCAGGTGTCCCAGAGCGGGTTGCATCTTCCCATAGGGTGCACACTAACTTCCTATGGGCACATTTACTGGAAACCCATATTCTTCCTCCACTCCAGGGAGCCTCACCACTAGCATTAGCATCACCTGAGAACATGATAGAAATGAATATTCTCAGGCTGTCCCCAGAACTACTGAATCAGAAATTCCAGAGCAGAGGTCTAGCAATCGGTGTTTTAACAAGACTTCCAGATGATTCTGATGCATATTCATATTTGAGAACCACTTTCCTATATTATTCTCTCTCTAAACCACTCATTTAAATAATTCTCAGACAAGATCCATTATTTCTTACAGAAGGTCAGGACAAAAATTTTTATAAAAATTCACACACACACACACACACACACACACACACACACACGCACATGCGCGTGCGTGCGCCAAGAGTAATGAGTAGAATGCCAATATTCTTGATAGCTTTTGGTTATATTTTGTTTTCCGGTTTCCTTTTGCTTATTTTGTGGTAAATTCCTTCACTTGAGTGTCATTTTTTTTCTCATTAAAAATTTTCAAGGTGGTTGCACAAAATTTAAAAAACGGTCTAGAAGAACACAGAGTTATTTTAAATTAATTGCAATTTTTAAGGAACAGTTTATTCCCCCCAAAAATTATGTTTCTGGACTCAACTGGAATGTGAGCCAAACTGCAAAAAAAGTTATAATTCTTACATAATTCATATATAATCAAGCCCAAAGCCATATTTATTTCTAAGCACAGCTTCCAGAAAGATAGAAATGAAACAACAAATCATAGTTATTCATAAGAACTTCCATTAGTGTGTAAGCAAATGAGAAGAATTGGGAGTTTGTTTAAAGATGTTTCTGCTGGACAATCTGTTTTACGCTGTGTGTCATACACTTAATACGTGATATGATGTAAACTTGGATACGGCTCCTGGAACTGTATTCCAATATAAATTGTGAGTTATTATGTGAGTTTTTCATAAAGAAGATAATTCTTTATTCTTCCTCCAAAGTGTGCAAAGAAAACTGTCATTTGTGAGGTACGTATACTTTTTTCACCTACTGGTTATCTTGTTCAATCAAATTTTAGTGCATTTATATGATCTAATGTATTTTACAGGATACATTTAATGTGCTGAAGTTTGATACTGAAATTTACAATAACTTTATATAAAAATAGATTACAATATGCATATCTCTATGTTACCTGTATATCCAGGTGTACAGAGACAAACATAACCACGTCCAAGTTGTTGGCAGGTTCCACTATTGTGGCAAGGGTTTAAGAAGCATTCATGGAAAACCTACCAGTAGCAGAAAATAAATCTATCAGAGACAAAAAATTTATTTCAAAGTAATCTTGACTAAAGAGTCAGAAGGTTATAACGTTAGACAGCTGGTTCCTATTTCCAGGTAAATTCACTCAAGCAAGCTGGACTGCTGCCTGAATAACATTGGTGTCTGCCATATGTGGGCACAAACATTATATATTATTCTTGTGTGGTGTTCTGGTAAGCCCAAGCTGTGTTTCTAAATGCTAGCTGCGTGTTAGAATCCATTTGATATATTTTAAAACAAGGCCCCAGCTGATACCAGCTATATTGGAATCTCTGGGAGCAAAGTCTATACATTTTTAAAAGTCGACCTGGTTCTTTTAAAAATCACCACACTGTTTTCCATAGCCACACTATTCACAATAGCAAAAACATGGAACCAACACTACTGCCCATCGAAAATGGACTGGATAAAGAATATGGGGTATATTTACATGATGGAGTATTATGTAGCCATAAAGAAGGACAAAACTATGAACTTTTGCAGCAACCTGAATGATTTAGAGTTCATCATACTCAGTGATCTATCACAGAAACAAAGAACTGAATACCACATGTTCTCAATTATAAATGGGTCTTGAAAATTTATCACAATACTAGAAGAAAAGGATCAGCAGTAATGGGACACTGCTGGAGGAGGGGGACACATAACCTCACTAAGGGTACCAGATCCTAAATCAGGTGAAGTGAGAACCAGATGGAGGCCCAAACTTCACCTGCTTGTAAACCACTCATGTACTTAATCCTGACTTGTACCCTAGATCTTTATAATAAAATAAAGTAAAAAACAAACAAACAAAAAGTTGGCCTATTCTAGAAAAGCTGGATTTGATTATTCCTCCAGATATGAGAGCCGCTGTGTTAGGGGCTCCTACAAATTTCTTTGTCCACTAGGATCATTTTCAAACATAACTTATAAAGCTCCAACAAGTCATTACATTTGGACAAGTCTATAGGAAGTTAAAATAAGAAATATAGCTTCGTTATTCTTAAAAACACTCAAAGCCAGGGAATTCATGACATTGGGATAGGTGAATTCAGAGTAATGGCTGTATCTACCAAAATAATCAGACTTAAAAACTAGTCTTTAAAAAAAATAAAAACAACTGGCTTAGTTATGTTCATGAGTCATGCTAGTTAATTTTTTTAGACTCATGTGTTATTCCAATAAATAATTTTTTTCTGGCAAAGAAATTTAAATAACTTTCATGAAAGTTGAGTAACTCTTTCTACCAATCAGAAAAAGATTGGCTAAACAAAATGCCCTTACTTAAACAATAGGTTCTGTTTCTGGGTTAATTATTAGTGACTCAAATGCCCCCCTATATCTACTCATTCTTGTTACCAGACACTGCGGGAAAAAACTACCATTTTTGGTAGTTAGAACATCTAATGTTGCATTTTTGGAAAGCTCTTGTTAGAAGACAAAAGTAAACATTGTTCATTTCCAAAATTCATAAGTCTTGATTAATTAAAGCTTTATTCCTGGCGGTTTTCCTCTGCGTGACATGTAAAATGACAAATTGTTTTTCAAGCATTCTATCAGAGAAAACTCCATACATAATAGACTTGCCTGACTGCTGACTTCGTACTTCTTTATGACATGTCCAGGAGAGGCAGGGGGAACTATACTTTCCTCCGCTGCAGAGAAAGTTGAAATAAAACCTAATAAATTAATAGAAAAACATGTCAGTGTGAGGTAGGTATTGCTAAAAAGTAGACTATAGCTAAATACTATGGTCAAGAGTCTAGTTATCAGAGTGGGTAAAGCCACATATATTATTTTTGTTTCAGTAATATTAAAAACGAGGCCACAGAGATGGATGGCATATGACATCAAATCCTAGACAAATCCAAAAAATTCCAAATTTCTTTCGAAGAGATTTGGAAGTTATCAAGTTCAGCGTTTCTAAAACAAGACTCTTTGAACCATGGTCACCAAAAAAACCTCAAAAGCACAATTTAACAAGTCCAGATGTCCAAATCTACTGAAAACAGTCGTTTTCAGAACTGAACCTACTACAGAGATAGGCAAAAGTAAGTGTCCAACATGGGATTATGAAAGAAATGAAACATCATCTTACTTGAACAATCTGTGATGGATCTAGTACCAGTGGTAAGTGTAGTTCCATAAAAGGGACAAGCCAAGCAGAAAGCCTTCCCGGAATCAGGTTGGTAATAGTCTCGAGGACATGGATAACAAGGCATTAGCCCAGAACGTGAGAATTCTCCTACTGGACAAGGTACTGAAAAGGTAAAAACAAATCATTTGTGGTGTATATGAAGCAACACACCCTATATTTAAAAGAAGTTTCTTAATCTTTGATCGTAAGAAACCTACTAAATTACTTATCTAATCCCTTCTTTGTTGAAAACCCATACCATATTATCACCTAGGTAAATGTTTTGTAGGGTTTCCTTTCTGTCTTTAGTAACACGCATTAGCTTAATAAGATTAAAATTGGCCATATAGTATTATATTCTGACTTTTCCACTTATCATTGTATCATAAGTATTTCCTAGGTTATTAAACTATTTTAACAAATAAAAAATATTGCATCCCATTACAGACCATATTTGACCTAACATTTTTTTTCCATTATTAGGTATTTAGGCTGTTTCCATTTGTTTGCTATTATAAATAATACTGAAATAATTTTTTTGCATCAATATTTGATTATTTCCTTGGGATAATGGTTGAATTTGAGTAGCTGAATTTGAGTAGCTGAATAGATCTAAAAATGTTTTAAAAAATGAGAACGATTGATATATAATGCCAAATCATTAAGAAAAAGGGGAGTTTCAATTAACATTCCCGTCAACAATGTAGGAAATCTTCACACTGCATGTCCTTTCGGCACTGATGATTATTAATTTTTTTCAGTTTGAAATTGAAAATGAAATTGCAGGTATTTTGATTTGTATTTTGACAATAAAGTTATTTTCTTCTTATACTTATTAGAAACTTTATTTCTTCAGTATAGTTGTCTATTATTTATTGAGGATCCTTTATGATTATTTCGTATATTAAGGATATGAATCTTTTACATGCTTAGAGTAAATATTTCTGCCAGTTTGTGTTTTGCTTGTTAATTTTATTTAACTACTTTCATTGAACAAGTAATTAATTTTGACTCTTATTTAATATGAAATAATATAAGGCAATGGATTTGTCTATGAAAACAGCTTTAGCCAAATCATAATTTGATAATTAATATTCTTATTATTTATTTTCTAAATAATATGAATCATAATTTTATTTTTGACAATGACATTTTGAAGGGATGGTTTAAATGTATAAATGTTTGGAATATGTATGTATTTACTTAAGCTTTTATTATTAATTTCCATTTTTATCACCAATTTATTTTACCACCCTGCTTACTTTCTTTTTGTATTTATGTGTCTGGCAATCTTTTTATTTTTAACCTTTCACTGTTATTTTGTGTTAGACATGCTTTTTGAAAACAGCATTCAGTTGGGCATTGTTATTTAACCAAATCTGAAATTCTCTTGCCAATAATAGGTAGACTATTAACCCAAATAAAAAATAACCTCAAATATAACATGAGGTTGGTTTTTCTCCAATAAACCTTGACTGTATTTGAAACTGGGCAGTGGGGCAGAGTTACTCATGACTTAAATCTTTGGTTGGGATTTTAGACAGTGATCCAAATATGAATTCAGGTTGGATGTGTTCTTTCCCTGCATGAATTGGCCCTAAAACCACTATAAACAGAGAAAACTACTAAGACTTATCTGCATAAATGTAATTATGGAAGACAGAACACAAAGAAGTAGCTACTCAGGGTTTCAGCATACTTGTCCTTTTGGTTTTAGATTCTTGATAATAAAAACTAGTACAGTAGAAATAATTAGCAATATGGTTGAAAAATATAGTGAAGTACTGAAGTTTAAGGGAGCAGGATACACCAAGTAATGACATCTTTATTTATTTATTTATTTTTGGTTTGAGGAATAAGCAAAGCATTTGAGGTAATCTCAAGAAGTTTAGATAAAAGTTCTTAAGCAAAAATAGGCAGCCAAATGTTTTGCTAAGGAACTCTTTAGCTGGGTTTGGTGGCTCAGCCTGTAATCCCACGCCTAGGGAGGCTGAGGTGAGTGCATTGCCTGAGCCCGCGGGTTCTAGACCCGCCTGGGCGACTTGGCGAGACCTCATCTCTACAATAAATCAAAAAATCAGCCAGGCATGGTAGGGCGTGCCTGTAATTCCGGCTACTCGGAAGGCTGAGGCGGAAGGATCGCTGGAGCCCAGCAGGTCGAGGTTGCAGTGACCAGGAGCGGCCACTGCACTCCAGTCTGGGTGACAGAGTGAGACTCCAACTCAAAAAAAAAAAGGAACTCTTTTATGTCCCCGATTGACAAAAAGTCAAAAGTTGAATCAAGAGATGACAGAAGATATCATAGATATTACTGCCAATTTAGAAAAAATTATTTCTCATAGGTTTTACATTTTTAAACTGCAATCATCTTTATTTCACTAAGAACAAGTCTATCTACTCTTTGATAGATATCAGAGTTTTAGACAGAGCTCTGTTATTTGCACAAACTGTGAACTTGCTAAGTTTAAAATGAGCTTTCTGGGGTAAACCCCTCAGGTTCCCTCCCACTGTGGGAGCTTTTCTGTCTTCTCAATAAATCCTGCTTTCAAAAAATAAAATTAAAAAAAAAAAAAGGACATTCTAAGTCTTAAGTTTTCAAAAATGATAGCCTATTTGGAAAAGGTAACTTCCACACAGCGAATTAAGTAAATTGAAAGCATCAATCTTCCAGTGGTAAAGGTATAAAGTTTTTGCTTGAGGGAACATCTATGAATATATGTATAAAGTTTTGCTTGAGGGAACATCTATGAATATGTATGAAATACTAAAAAGATAAATGCCATCAGTAAACTAAAGATGTTATAATGAATTAAACTGTTTAAAGATGTTATAATGAATTAAACTTTTTTTACATACAAATTTTTCCAGCACAAACTAAAGTTAAAAAAAAAAGATGTTTATGGGCCCTAGAAATTGACAGAATGTAAAAAATTATACTAAGATGCAATAGTAATAAAATATTAGATTAAAAATAAATATGCATATTGGCCTCTCAAATTAGCTCACTCAATCATCGTAATGTCTATACTTTTTAGAACAGAAATGCAAAATAAATCTGCAAGTGCAATTAGTTTAAGTTACATTCCAAGGGCAGACAGTTGTCATCAGAAATATATTTTTCTATAGTGGTCAATTAGTATTTGATATATTATTTATATGTATACAAATAATATACGCATATATAAACATACACATATTAATAGTACTATTAAATACATGATATAGTACTAAACATATACACATACAAATACACAATTCCTAATTAACAAATGTCATGAGAAAAGAGGAGGAATGTTTCATTTTAAATCTTGGCCAAACAAGTTTCTGAGTCAAGAAAGACGGGACAAACCCTTTCTGCCTCCTCTATTATTGAGAGAAAGAAAAAAATCTAAGCCAAACATAATACTAAAATCAAATTTAAAACAGTGTATTATTTAAATTTTGATCAGGAAAAAATGCTGTATCACTTGTGCTGTTTCCTGTTAGTGTTAAAGACAACACATACAGACCTGAAGCCAAGTGGATTTAGCCTTTTAAATGGGTTACTTTTATTACAGCTAATACCATTTTATTGTATATTAAAAATATGCTAAGAGAATTTCAGGTTCTATACACCTTCCCCCCATACACACATACAAAATGCTAACTACATGAGATAATGTATATGTATATAAATATAACACCTTAAAATTTTTTTGTATCTTGTATACCTCAAATATCTACAATAATAAATAAATAAATCCATTTCCTAAGACAAAGTAAGAGGTCTCTGAGCCTCCTTTTAACTTCATCCTGGAGGATCAAGGTAAGAGATAATATCATTCTGGTCCAAAAGTCATCTTTCTTTCTTCTAATCATATATTAACAACAACAACAAAAATCATCTGTGGAACTTATTTAGATAAAAATAATTTTTTAAATGAAAAATTTAAAACTCTTGAGCTTATAGTTACAAATCTAAGATGACCTAACAAGTTATGAAAGGTAAAATGCATGGAGAATATATTACTTTAACACAGTAATATCCTTAAATATAATTTCTATATTGATTAATAATATTTTAAGTGCAATAGGATAAATAATTGAAATATATGATATATAAATGAAAAATAAGGGCAGCCCCCTTGCGTCCCTTCCTACTATGGGACATTTTCTGTCTTCGCAATAAATCCTACTTTCTCACCTAAAAATAAAAAAAAAGTAAGATAAACTATATAACATATCCATAAAAATAAACCATTCTGAAAGATAGAAAATAAAAAGGGAAGACAGAAAGAAAGAAGAAAAGAAGGAAGCAAAGAAAAAAAAGAAAGAACAAAAAGAAAAGGTGAGATGAAAACTAAAAAAATACATATGGAAGGGACTTACTTTAAGTTTGAAGTAAAATGTTGTTTAGCACCACAAGAAAGTGTTGAATTTTGTTATTCCCAGTTCTCACTCATGACAAGCAGAATGTGGTTAAATGTGCTAGGAATATTAGGAGAAATGAGCTGGCAGTTTAGAGACTTTCTGGGAATTATAACTGCTTAATTACAATAATTTTGTATTAGAAAAACCTCAAGGCTTATTCAGAAAGCTAAAAAAAAATTGTCACAAATAAACTTGTTTCACTGTAAAAATTTGAGTTGCTTTTGTGGTTGGAGGAAGTGGAGACTGGGAGAGAGTTTTTTACTGCAGACTTTTTTCCAAAATTAGTTTGTATATTGACAAAATAAGAGTCTCCAGTAGATCTATTTCAACCATACTCTGATGGCTTCTTTAACTTTCAATTAAAACATACAAAGCTGGTATTATGCAACTGACACATGGTTTGTGAGTTTGTTAGGTCCTAGCAAAATTTTCTTCTCAACTCTTCAGTGAAACATTAGGTTGATGACTATTACTTGCCTAATTCCTCAGGTCTCATATACTTTTATCAACCTTGAGCCTACTAAACTGACATAATTTAAGTATATGGAGTATATAAAAATCTATAATTCAGGGTATGTTTTCTCTGATTCCTTTTCTCCGGATACACTTAACTTATTAGGAGGACTACATCTCCTAAGATGCAATGTTGGACATGCTCCTTCTCAGTCCGCAGATAAACTATCCACACTCCTGTTTTCTAGGAATCTCGGTCTGTAATTGAATGTAGTCGTATGTGTGGCTGGGGTGTAATGAGGGTAGGAGGTATGTGTGTGAATGTGTCTGTGTAGCTTGAGAGAAGTGGAGAATCAGCAGGTTGGCTTCTTAAAAACATCATTCATTTAATAAGGGGACAGCTTTAAAATTTTTCGGTTGCCATAGATCTTATATTTTTAACAAGAGCGTAGAGAATGAAGGAAAATATACAATTTAAAAATATCATCTTTTAGTCAAGCATACTTGTTCTGTCTCCAGTGAGGTAGCAGATGGAAGCCAACAACTTTTTATTTTTAATCCAGTTTCATTGACCCGTCAAAGTACAGTAGTTACAATTTTTTTTTTTTAATCTCTGGCAATAGGTTGAATTTGACTGTCAGTCCTAGTATTGTTGTCATTCTAAGTTTTCATCTTTTATTTTTGTTTACATCTTCATGAGTATTTTGCTGGAAAACTATACTCCGTAAAGGATGTTAGAAATATTTAAAAATTGGAACTCTAGTATTTTTACTTTACTTAAACAAAGGGTTCTTAACATGTGATCACTAAGCCAGTAGAACCATCATTATCTGACAACTAGTTAGAAATAAAAATACGCAGACTTCTCCTTAGACCTACTGAATAAAAAATTCTGGGGGTGAGGCCACGCAATCTGTATCTTAACATGCCCTCTGTGCTAACATTTGAGGACCAAAACTAGTGACTCTTAACTTTTCCTGTTACTTTAGAATCATCTGGGGAAACTTACAAAGAAAACCAACGCCCAGCCTCTACCTGACAAGTTAAATCAGAAATCTCTGGGAGTGAAGATTGGGCTTTAGCATTTTAAAAATACTTGTGTAGATAACTCTAATGTGTAGCCTGAGTGAATAACCACTCATGAAAATCTTCAAATAATAGGGAATTAAGTGTCATAATTCACAGAATAATATCATTTTTGAATTTCGAGGAACACTAGACAACTTCATTTTATAAATGAGGAAACTAAGTTCCTAGTTTAGAAGTATTTCTGCCATATCATGAAGCCACCTGCTTATTACTATTTAAAGCCTAGGACCAAGTTTTGTGCTTCTTTTGTGGTCCTGGTAGTACTAGTCCAGTGTTTCCACTGCAGGTATTTATACTGAAGTATTGACTGGCTAAATAAAAAGGAACTCTCCATGAAGATACAGTTATTTACATTCTTTGCATATAGTAGACATATGGTTTTGCAGAAAATATTCCATTCTCCCATGCATAGAACCTAGAAGGTTTAAAGAAATATCAGTGCCTAAGGCTTTGACAACCTCCACAAGCAGAAATGTTCACAGCTCCTCTTTTCACTGTTGAAGTGTTTTCTGGACATAAGAGGCAACTCCGGGAACCAAATTCTGGCTGGTAAGTGCCCAAAGGACACGATTCACAAGTCTCAAGTCCGTTGGATGAGTAGGTGCCTTGCTTACACTGAGCTGAAAGTAGAAATGTAATATGGTTAATAATAATGATATTAAGCTGCAAAAAAATTAGCACTGCGTGGGATAGGGTTTTCTGCATTTTAATTCAGGACAGAATGAGGGACACAAAAAACTCTTTCTCCTGTTGGCCAAGCATATAGATATTGTAGAGCCCCAAGCTTCTGTACACTAATTAGTTTTAGGCTCATTTTCAGTTACTTCTGTTATGACCTATCACAGTGTTTGTCACTCAGAACATGTTGAATGGAGTTAGAAATATACAGCACAGAAAGGCATTATTATAAGAACAAGCTGTACACTGGAAGCTTGTTCACGTAGAAGTTCTCAACATGTATGCTGGTCTCTTGAGTGACAGAAGCTACAGTCTTATGACTCCCCTGGCACCTCTGCTGTTCTAAATAAGAACTGGCTCTGCCATCTCATCCTATCTAGAGGCACCGTTTCATCTGAGAGCTAGTGCAGAGTGGAAGATAAACGTCGTCTTAGCCTCTGGCCCCGAGAGGAGAAGCAACTTTCTAAAATTTATATTGATGGATTATAGTTGAGCAGGACCTGGGCCAGATGCCCTGACTCCCACGGTGTTGTCCTTTCTTTCTGCCTGTGACCCCCAAATGACTTTTCTTTTCAGCATTGCTAACATTTTTTTAGTGCATTTCCGTTCACCTAGCTCTGCTCTGAAGGTTATGCTTGTCCTTAAAAAGCCTGCTCTTGCATTTGTGACGATGGCAAAGAGATACAATTTTGAAATTCTTTATTTTAGACATGTATTGCTATAAACTTAATTATGAAAGAAAATGCTTCCATCAGGAACTCTCACTGAGACTAAGAATAAAAATATTTTGAAAATACTGAATATTTTAGTAGCAAGAATAGGTGCATATGTGCCTGTAGTTATTCATTTCCAATCAGATGGAGAATTTATCTCATATAAAATACTATTCTAACAGAAGGCAATTCAATAATTGTTAAATGTCATAAAAGTTCTTTCCCCCAATTATTTTGAGATTCAAGAAAAGAATCCAGGCTATTTGATGGATGCAGATTGGAGTCTAAGAGAGAGCAATGGAATATCTGCAAAGGGAAAGGTAAATGGACTTCTTTAAAGCGGGGGAAACATTCAGGTAAGACTTTATATTTAAAATAAGGAGAGAATAAATAAATAAAACTGCCTTCAGTAGTGCTCTTATTTCATCCTATTTGTCATTTAGAATTTAGAACTGCGACAGGACTCAGAACACCCTGACTCAAAATATGGTACGTTGGCATACTGAATACTTTAAGCTGAAGGAAATTTGAGGAAACTCCAGAAGCAGGAAGGTCTCTCTGAATTTCTGCCCTTGTCCTCTTTAACATGACATAAAACTTAGAAAGAATCTCTGACCTTGCCCTGAAGCAGATCATAAGACCTTCATGTGAGAAGGGCCCAACCTATACTCAGAGGAAGGAAACATCCTTATCTCTGAAGACACAGAGACACAGAAGAATCTGAACAAACAGGCCTTGCAGAGTTCCCCACAGCTTATTACCATTAGATCATACCCCCTCTGTCAAATCATATTCTTTGCAACTATACACTTCTTCAACAAACGTAGCATAAAAATATACAGGTTTCTCTGTTTCTTTGGGTCTTCATTTCTGAAGCCCTTCATGTCATGTAAAACATCTTTTTATGTGTCTTTTGCTACAGGAGTCTCAGCCATGAACCTAGTGATGAGTGGAGAAAAGAAATCTTTCTTGCCCACCAACTGGAAACAAAATTGAGGCTGCTTCTGGTCAAAATGTGCATTAAGCCACTACCTTTGCATTCAGAGATGTTTCTTGAATGGAGATACTCTGTGTAAGTCCCCCTGGGACAAAGCTTGCACTCAAGCCGCCCTTCTTCATCTTGATAGGATCCCAGTTGGCAGCTCTCACAGATGGAATGTTCAAGGGAGTAATGGGTTCCCAAAGGGCAGTTGACTGTAGAAAAACAAACAGGAAATGCTGAATAAAGTAAACTACTGCTGTGAAACACACTGGGCTCTTTTTCCAAAGGCGTGAAAGTAATAAAGCATGCTTTCAGGTACCATGGTTTATGTATTAAATTTTATGGTCAGCGGTTTACTCACAAGCAAACCTTCCAGAAATGTATTTCTAGAAACAACATTAGTAGGTTCTTTTTTTTTGAGAAAATGCAAATTCTTATTGATCAAACTTAGGGCTTATATTTCTTTTTTTTAGGTAACATTTGGATTTTTTATCATTACATGAGTGTCAACACAAAATACAAGTGGGTCTATTTTGTGATAGGAAGTGATCAGAGGACTTTTCATTATTTGAAAATGACCATAAATATCAAAGGGTTCACCCATGTGTCCCCAAGAAACAGGATGAATTAGCCCCTTAGAGTGGTTTGAAGGTGCAAAGTTGAGGGAAAGAATACAGTTATTTCTTTCTTTTTTTTTTTCTTTGAGTTGGAGTCTCACTCTGTTGCCCAGACTGGAATGGTCTTCCAAGTAGCCGGAACTACAGGCGCGCACTACCACGCCTGGCTAATTTTTTGATTTATTGTAGAGCTGAGGTCTCACCAAGTTGCCCAGGCGGGTCTCGAACCTGTGGGCTCAGGCAATTCACTCACCTCAGCCTCCCCAAGCACTGGGATTACAGGCTGAGCCACCAAGTCCGGTTAAAATACGGTTATTTCTAATTGCCTATTGTATTAGTCAGGGTTCTCTAGAGAAACAGACAATAGGATACATGTGTGTATTTGTGTGTGTGTGTGTGTGTGTGTGTGTGTGTGTGTGTGTGTGTGTACATATACATATCTCTAATCTATCAATTAATATACTTATCATCTATGTATCTAGAGAGATTTTAAGGAACTGCTCACATGATTATCAAAACTGGTAAGTCCAAAATCTGCAGCGTGGGCCAGTAGGTTGGAGACTCAAGGAAGAGCTGAAGTTGCAGTTCAAGTCTAAAGGCTATCTGCAAGCAGGATTTTCCTTGCTCTGGAGGCATCAGTCTTTTGTTCTATTCAAACCTTCAGCTGATTTGATGAGGCCCATTCACATTATGGAGGGCAATCTGCTTTACTCAAAGTCTCTTGATATAAATGTTTAGCTCATTTAAAAACACCCTCACAGAAACAGCTAAGATTATGTTTGACCAAATATTTGGGCACTGTGGCCTGTCCAAACCAACACATACTTTTTTTTTTATTTTGAAGATATGGGGTACAAATCAGGATTAGGTAGATAAATGGTCATCGTACAGGTAAAGCTTGAACCTCACCTTGGTCACCACTTAGCCTGGTTTGAGATCAGGTACCCCTACTGAAGTTATGTGCCCATCCCCAACCCCCAGCAGTGTCCTGCTACTGCCAAACCTTTTCTTTTCTTATAGTGTTACGATTAATGTTCAGGGTCTGCTTATGAGTGAGAACATGTGGTACTCAGTTCTTTGTTTCTATGACATACTTGAAATCCACCCAAGTTGATGCAAAGCCCATAATTTTTCCCTTTATGGCTGCATAATACTCTATCGTGTATATGTATTACTTTTTTAAAAATCCAGTCCACTTTTGATGGGCAGTACAGTTGGTTCCATGTTTTTGCTATTGTGAATAATGCTGCAATAAACATGCATGTGCAGGTATCTATTTCATAGAGTGATTTAAGTTTCTCTGGGTATATTCCCAGAAGGGGGATTGCTGGGTCATATGGAAGGTTGATGTTTAGATCTTTTAGGACTCGCTGCACTTTTTTCCCTAGAGGTTGTACTAGTTTACACTCCCACCACCAGTGTAGAAACATTCCCTTTTCCCCACATCTTCTCCAGCATCTGTTGTTTTTTGAGTTATGAAGGTCAAACTGACTGTAGGTAAGTGGTATCTCAGTGTGGCTTTAATTTGCATTTCTTTGATGACTTGTGAGGTTGAGCATTTTTTCATGTATCTGTTGGCTGCATGTATGTCTTCTTTTGAGAAGTGTCTATTCATATCTTTTGCCTACTTTTTAACAGGGCTGTTTGGTTTCTTTCTTTTTTTGGATCAAACTTAGAGTCTATATTACTTATTGATCAAGCTAAGGGCTTATATGGTAGGGGTTTTAAAGTGCGAATCAAAGGTATGATAAATCAGATTATCATAGGTAATATATAGTTAGCAAAGAAAAAGCTGCCAGAAGAAAAGAATAAAACAATGAATATTTAGGTTAATTCGAGGCTTTGAGATATTAAAAACATTTTCTTAGTTGTTCCTCTGAATGCTTGTCTATTACAGTATCGTTTCTAGAGACAAAGGTAGGCACAAGTGGTGAGACTAAAACAGATGAGTTAAGTAGAGCTTGTATCTGTTTGCAGGAATTATTGCCTACTGAAGGCAAGTCCATGGTGTCTTCAGACCTGAAGGCCATGAGGAAACAGTTCAATTTTAGAACCATCCTTTTTTGGAGATTTGATCCACTATTTGATAGGTTTGCAGTGGCCCAGAAATTCTGTGACCAAAATAGAGTAATAAATTCACTGAAAATGTTGCTATCAGTTTGGCATTTTTCTAGTGAGGACACTTGAAATTAGTACTTAGATGATTCTGAGATGTTAAAGTATGTAATAATTACCTGGGTACTTATTAAAAATGCAGATTCCAAGAACCCACCCCTAAAGTGTCAGATGCATTAGATCTGGGATGGGACCTGAGTCAAGATGGATTATTTTTCTCTTTTAATTTTTATTTTGAAATTGTGGGGGCACAATTCAGGGTTAGGTATACAAATGTTCATTGTGTAGGTACCCTTACTGATGAGGTGTGGCCCCCCTTCCCCAGGTGAATATCGACTACTGTCAATCCCAGCTACCAGCCCTCCACCCCCCACCCCCTCCCTGCAGTTTCCCACTACTTTTAATCCCTTTCCTACAGTAATATGGTAGTTGTTTAAGGTCCACTTATGAGTGAGAACATGTGATACTCATCTCTTTGTTTCTGTGAGAGATCACTATTAAAAGCTCTAATTTCATTCACGTTGCTGCGAAGTTCATGATTTTGTTCTTCTTTATGACTGAGTAATATTCCATTGTCTATATGTACCACATTTTAAAAATTCAGTCCTCTTTTGATGGGCAGCATGGTTAGTTCCATGTTCTTGCTATTATGAACAATGCCACAATAAACATACGTGTGCAGTTATCTTTTTTATAGGGTGACCTCAGTTCCTCAAGGTATATTCCCAGTAGGGGGATTGCGGGATCATATGGAAGGTCAATTTTTAGGAGTTTTAGCAATCACCACACTGATTTCCACAGAGGCTGTACTAGTTTACACTCCCACCAACAGTGTAGAAGTATTCCTTTTTCACCACATCCTCTCCAGCATCTGTTATTTTTTTAGTTATTGATGATGGCCATTCTGACTGGAGTTAGGTGATATCTCAGTGTAGTTTTAATTTGTATCTCCTGGATGACTAGTGAGACTGAACATTTTTTCATGTGTCTGTTGGCTGCTTGTATGTCTTCTTTTGAGAAGTGTCTATTCATATCTTTAGCCCACTTTGTAATGGGGCTGTTTGTTTTTTTCTTTTCAGCACGTTTGAGTTCTCAAGACGCATTTTACAAGTATTTTAGGCGATCCAAAGATCGTAATGAGAAATGAGAAATCCCAGTCAAGGCGATTCCTGGTTTTATTTATTTTTTATTTTTTTATTTTTTGAGTCAAAGTCTCACTTTGTCAACCAGGCTGGAGTGCAATGGCATGCTCATGACTACCGCAGCCTCGAACTGTTGGGCTCAGGTGATCCTTCTGCCTCAGCCTTCCAAGTAGTTGGAACCACAGGCATGTGCCACCATGCCTGGCTGATTTTTTGTAGAGAAGAGGTCTTGCCATGTTGCTCAGGCTGTTTTGAACCCATGAGCTCAGGTAATCCTTTTGCCTCTGCCTCCCAAAGTGCTGGGATTACAGGTGTGAGTTACTGAGCCTGGCTGATTCCCAGTTTTAGCTCACAGGGTGGTGAGGAAACAAGAATAGGTTTGGAATCATAACAATTTTAATGTCCATTTGATGGGTTGAATTTCTCACACTATGAAAAACTCACCCAAGCTCGTGGACTAGCAATAAGAACAGTTGAAAGTTTTCAGACTGGACATACAAGCCTATGTCCATGGAGAGAATAAGGTAAAACTCACATCATTGGGTTCAGCTTAATGTACAGAGTTTGCTTACAGGAGATTCCATTATCTATAAATGAGATGACTTATTTGGGAAATAGGCTGGAATTGATCCAGATCATAACAGCCAGTCTAGAATAGCGGTTAAAGGTTAGGAGGCTAGAGAGAGGGGGAATTGGGAGTGACTGTTAATTAATGGATATAGAGTCTCCTCTGGGAGTGATAAAATGCTTTGGAAATAGTGCTGATGGTTGCACAACATTGTAAATGTACTAAATGTCACTGAATTTTACACTCTAAAATAGTTAACTTTATGTTATATGAACTTCATGTCAATATAAAAAAAGTTAAGACTGGTGTTGGCTGCCTGGGTGGGAATCTTCGCTATACCACTTACTGTCTTCATGGTTAAGTCTTCTTAAGTAAGTTCCTAACCTCTCTGGCTTCAGTTCTTTCATCTGTAATATGTGCTTAGCAATGATAGTACCTTACAGAAGTGCTAAACAGGATTAAACATGAGAGGTGCTCAGCTGGCATACAGAAATGTTCAAAAAGTATTAGGTACTATTATTGAAGTTGCTGCCTAGAGCTATGAGTGTATATTTTATTTCTGAATCTCTTGATTGTTGTAAAATGGCTCTTCCCATCTCATCTGACCAAATATACACTAAATATTTTTGATCACAGAAAATAGTCTTACCACACATTCGTCCTCTCAGCACTGAACCTGGTCTGCAGAAGAAGAAAGCCTTTTCTGTTTCTAATGAATTGCTGTCAGCTACCAGCATTTCTGATGCAAGCTGAAAGGAGTACAGGGGCTCTTTACTGAGGGTTCTTTTCAGTTTATTTGTGATTGTTTCCAATGTCTCAATGAGTCGTCGCTGATTTTCCAGTTCAAGGGTATCATTTCTTTCATTGGGCAATGGCACACTAGCTGAGATAAAAACAAAACAAAACATAACACAGATACATAGTGTTTCAGGAAGTCATTGTAGTTAGTATTTACCAAATATAAATAGTATATTAAAAATCTCCGAGAAAAAAGTTAATTCAAAATAAGTTCAACCACTATTTGCTGAACAATTAAGTAAGCACCTGGATAATACTAAGAACAATACAATTTGTTTAATCCTTCTCTCAGATGCTGGACCTATATCACCTTTTTAGGGGAGTTCTTCATTTTAGCATATTAAGTTCCTGTTTATTCTTACATTTTAAAAACACACCTTAGTTCACCATGCCAAGATGACAACAAAGCAAGGTGCTTGTCGCTGTGAGAACCCTGAAATACATCTGCGATATTAATAGCAAAAAGTGACGAAGCTTTTTAGTCAGCTGATTGTGCTCTCCCTAATTCTAAGTTCCAGGATCATCTCCTAATAATAATAACACATGGGGGATTTGAGAAATAGGTCTCAACAAAGAACTTCCCATAATGTTACTTTTTCAAATTGACAGTTTATCCTTACCTGTAATGTTAAAAATTAACTTAATTTTGTGGTCAGATAATGGGGCATTTCTTTTAATTCGTGAAGATCTTGCTCTCCCAATGCTCCTGGGTGTCTCTTGCACAGCATCCAAGAAGTCATCATAAGAGTAATCCAGCCTGTTAGCTGCACCCCAACCACCTGGTCCTGGAGAGTTGGGACAAAGAAACAAATGATTGTACAGATGCATTTCCAAGCATTTAGGTTCTAATGTTAAACCACCCTCAAGTTGTATTTGATCATTTCCTCAGTTCCCCATAAAGTACTGCATACAGGGATTGGTCTACAATCTCATATTGTAATTTTTAGATTACGCTAAAAGAAGAAATAAAAGTCTCTATGTAGCTATCTAGGCATTTATGCCATTCTATCTTTGAGTTAATAATTAATCATCTAGCCGGGCTCGGTGGCTCAGCCTGTAATCCCGCACCTTTGGGAGGCTGAGGTGAGTGGATTGTCTGAGCCTCATTGCCTGGGCAGTGAGATCTCATCTCTACAATAAATCAAAAAATCAACCGGGCGTGGTAGTGCATGCCTGTAATTCCGGCTACTTGGAAGGCTGAGGTGGAAGGATCGCCGGAGCCCAGCAGGTCGAGGCTGCGGTGGCCGGGAGCGGCCATTGCACTCCAGTCTGGGTGACAGAGTGAGACTCCAACTCAAAAAAAAAATAATAATAATAATCATCTTAGCTTTAGAGATAAAGAGTGGGTGCAGAATTTGAATCAATTTCTATTTCCTTTACGAGGGTAGGCCCCTTGTAGCACAACCTTCCCAAGCCTCACTCTCCCTGTTCACCTGATCTTGCTCCTAACAGCTTTTTTGGGGGGTTGTTCCCAGGATGAAAAGTGTCCTCAAAGGGAAACGTTCTGTTGATGTGGAAGAGGTGAAACAGAAAACGGCAGAAACACTAAAGGGCATTGAAATTGATGAGTTCAAAAACTGAGTAGTGGATAAAGCATCTTGACAGGTGTACTGTGTCAAATGGAGAGTACTTTGAAGGTAACTGAAGTTTAAGCATGTAAGAATAAATACATATTTTTAAAATAAATAAATTCAAATTTTTGGGTTCTTCATATATTTCTTGGTAATCTTTTTCAAATTTTCTCAACAGCATATTGTTTCTATGTCAAGTGGTTGTATAATATTCTCTTGTGTGGCACACTGCAAACAGTTTTCAGACATTTAGGTTATTTCAAATGTTTAGAACATTCTTCTATATGCAGTATTCCATCAAATATATCATCAACGAGAAAACACGTTCCAATATCAGGTCAAAAAGAAAAATGTACACCTCAGAATTGATAAACCGTGTTACATCTTTGTACACTAGCATGATTTTTATCTTGAGAAATATTCTTAGAAATGGAATTTCTGGGTCTGAGCACCTGAGCATTTTTAACTCGTTAGGTACATATTGCCAGGTGCCTTCTAGTTTCTCCTCCACATTCAACATACGAATATTTCTTTCCCAACTTTGTGTGTTATGATTCTTAACACTAAAAAATTCTAAACTGACAGGTCAAAATTGCATCTCACTTCAGTTGTAATTTGAATTACATGATTATTACGAGATCAAACTGATTTTGACATATTTATTGGCCCTTTGTTTTTCACACATTATGACTTGCCGTGGCATTGTTGTAATGTTACACCGATCTTGTGACTGTCTTCTAGAAGACAATTGAGGAGAACTGCTCGTCTCTTAGAATCACAGGATCATACATGGCACCTGCCCATGCCTTAATCTAGAAAACTGCCATTTGGATCCTTATTAGATGACAAATATCACCTATCTCAAAGCCTTATGATGGCAACTGACTCACTCTATGTGTGTCCTTGTGCCCTTGCAACCTACCCCAACAATCTAGGAGGGTAAACCTAGAACAAGTTTAACAGAAGAGACTTGGTTATTCTAGATGTACTACTGACAACACTATCTTATATTTTCTTATCTAAAACCTTAATTTCCAAAAGGTTCACTGAAGAGTTGCACATAATAATTAAAAACTAGCTGGGCTCAGTGGCTCAGTCTGTAATCCCGCGCCTTTGGGAGGCTGAGGTGAGTGGATTGCCTGAGCCCACGGGTTCGAGACCTGCCTGGGCAGGCGAGACCTCATCTCTACAATAAATCAAAAAATTAGCCGGGCATGGTAGCGCGCGCCTGTAGTTCCAGCTACTCGGAAGGCTGAGGCGGAAGGATCGCCGGAGCCCAGCAGGTCGAGGTTGCGATGGCCGGGAGCGGCCACTGCACTCCAGTCTGGGCGACAGAGTGAGACTCCAACTCACAAAAATAATAATAATAATAATAAAAAACTAAAAACAGTCTGAAGTTTACCAATAGGAAATTATTTACATAAATTATGGTAAATTAATTGATGGAATAGTATGCGCCCATTAAAATTGTATTGAAGCATAATATTTAATGGATAAAAATATCCTCAATACAATGTTAACTAAGAATTTGTGTTTACAAAGTACCATGAGCATACACACACATCTATAATTAAATATATAGATAGCTATGTATATATAATAGCATGTAATATAGTATATATATAATAGAATAGTATAGTGTATATATATATAGTATATATACATAAAGATATATTAGTTTTATATACATATGTAGTTACAAATATAAGCATGTATTAATAGGCTTATTTCTGGAGTTATGGATTTTCTTGATTTCATTTTTTGTTTTTAAGCATTTGAAAATTTTTATAATAAATATACGTTCACAAATTATATTTAAAAAATTTAAAAACTCTAAAACAATAGTCAACATCATTCTTAATGCTAAATCACCAAAAGTATTACCAATATGATTAGTGCCGGCAATAACTATGTCTTTTGTAATGTAAATTAATACTATCTCAGATAACCTTCTCAGAACTCTACTTATTCATTTAATGCTTAAAATGGCCATATGAAGGCCATATATACTCATATATACCCATTTTACAGGTGAGGAAACCGAAGCACAGAGTGATGTGACAACTTGCCGAAGACCACACAGATAATAGGTGGTAAAGTCAGGATATTGACTTAAGTAGTCAGTTGTAGAGTCCATGTGTTTATCACTAAACTATTTTATCCCTATTTTTTAAAACATTGCTTTGGAAATTCTGGATAGTTTTATAAGAATGAAATAAAAATAAGAGGTATAATCACTGGTAAGGATAATAATTTTGCCAAGACCCAAGAAATGCAATTGAAATCTCCTGAAATATTTTTTTTTTTTCCTGAAATATTAAGGTGGTAAGTTAAGTTGCCAGACATACAAGCAAAAAAAAAGAATCACATACCATGCTGAGGAACAATCTTAATGAAAAATGTTGAGAGTCTACATAGAGAAAACATCAAAATTTCACTTAAAGATATACAAGACTTGAATAAATTGAGTATCAACATAGTTTAGGTGAAGCATCTGAGTATTTTTACATATGTAACTATTTTATGTTAGTGGATTAATTGTAATTTAAATTGAATGCCATACAAAAATTGCTGTTGGTATCTCACAATTCTCTTCTAAGATATGTCTATTTACTAGAATTTACTATTCTCTTCCTAGATAGCAAGCCAATATTTGAGTTTTACCATCATAATATAACTTAGTTTTCTTAGTCTTTGTCATCCTGAAGAATTCTGGCAATTTAAAATATTTTGGTATAAAATTTAATATATCCATAATGATCATTAAGTACATTATCCATTTACATGGTCATCCTAAAATAATTGATGAATAAATTAGTAAAAATGTTTCTAGTTGGCCTCAATTTTCTAGAATTATTTTCTTATCAGGCAGATTAGTTTTACAAAGTACTGATGTTATATAATTTAATTACCGATTGCAAAGCCATTTTCATAGTCATAATTATATTCTAGGCAATATTTTTTGGTCAGGTCCTCCAGTCTGCAGTCAATATCATCAGCATCATTACAGAACGATGGGACCTGCAAATAAAAAGTGAAGAGGATAAAATGAAAACCACACCTCTGTGTGCTTTGTATAAGCCCTTTTCTCCCCTGGTCTTCATGACTCCATCGTCAGGTGGGAAGGGAGGGCCCCAGAGCTCTGCACATTCCTCTAAAGGTCCCTGGTACTCCTCTCCTTTCTCCCCTACAGTTTCTAACAGTTTGTTGATCACAGGATTAGTTTCGTGCCTTTATCTCTATTTTTGTCACTCACCCAGAAGCCCAGGACTCCTGGGACGTCTCTTATCGCTTAAGCCTGTATCTCATATGGTTCTTTGGATCCTTTTCTCTGGCCCATTTCCTACTTCTCTCCCAGTCTCCCAAATCTTCCTCTATGCCCTCTGAAGCTGAGTCAGTAATCAACAAAACTCTTATTTTCTATCTCCTCTATGTTCCTTTCACTTTTGCTCTAAAACCTTTCCATCTTTCTGGAATACTTTCAAGAAATATTTTCCAGAAAATATTTTAGAAATATTAGAACTTTCAGAATCCAGGAATTCTATGTAGGCTTGAGGGTGGAGAAAGGCCTTCCACACTCTTCATCACTATTTTCAGATCACATGACTTCACACATCCTGAAAGTCTCACGGTTCTGAAGTTTATGCCATCAACTCTACCTCTCTTTGCCCCTCCTTGTGGCAGTCACCTGAAGCATTTTCCCACTGAGTCTCTCCCTCATTCCAATAACATTTGGTGACTAGCCCTATTATAATTCTTGGTGCTTCTGTCTCCTTGGATTCTCAGTTCCTTTTTCTCTTCCTCTTCTCTCTAGCCTTATTTTGTCACTCAGTCCTGCAGTCATGGCCTCAGACTTTTTCATTACTAGTAATGCACATTTTCTTCTTCTCGGGAATCCTACAATTCTTGGACTTCATTGGAATGCATGATCCATTGATCCTACTGCCACTCCCTCATTCCCTCATGTTTTGGCTTCCTTATCCACCCATCTTAGATTCCATGGTCTATCACCACATGCCTCCTCCTCAACCTGTTTGCCTGGAAAACTCTTAAACCTGGTTAAATTAATCATTATGCTTTTCAACATCTGTACCCACATGGTTAGTGATGGTTTGAGAGAAAATGCAACCTTGATGACTGCTAATCCTACTGTATTTCTTTAGAATATTCTTTCCTGTTCTCCTAGAAAATTAGTTTACCCCATCTTCTCCTCAGACCTCCAGTCACTCCTTCCCATATTTACTCTCAACTGATCATCTTTTTATACTGAATAAATAAGTCAGGAAAGATCCTTCTTCCATACACTTACACTACCATGTGTGCTCTTGTGTATCTGCCTCCTTGACTCTTTTATTTCTGTCACAATCTACATCCAATGTACCAGCAAGTCCTACTGGGTCTACTTTTAGAATATATCCAAAATCCATTCACTTTTCACCACCTATGCTACCCATCTTCTTTTGCTTTAATTTCCTATGAGGTCTTCTTACTCTCTCTCTTGTCCTCTGCTTCTTCTACAGCCCAAGGTCATCAGTAATTGGCCCTCCCAAATGACTTTCTATATCACTTAGAGTAGAAGACAAAGTCTTTACAGTAACTTTTCAAGTAATTTTACAGTAACTTTCAACTTTTGAGGTCTGAGGCCATGACTGGGAGTGAGTGACAAAGTAAGGCTAGAAGACAAGAGAGAAGAAGATAAAGCTGTCTTCAGTCTGCTTTCTCTTCTGACTCCCACTTCTCCTACTTCATGTGAGCCCTTTGACCTTCACTCATTCTGTCACCCTCTTTATTCTTGTCACTCTGACATCTTAACTGTGGTTCAAACTCTCAAACACACTCTTGCCTCAGGGCCTTTACACGTGCTGTCCTCTCTGCCTGGAATACTCTTTGACTAGATATGTCTCACCGCCTCATTCCTTCATATCTTGGCTCACTGCCTCCCCCGTTCAGATCTCTTCTCATACAGGACCCTTATTAGCAAGGCTTTCCAATGTTCTGTTTTATTTTATTCCATGGCATTATGCCATCTGGCATGTTACATATTTTCCTTGCAATTTGTTTATTGTTTGTTCATTAGGATGCAAATTCTATAAGCACATGGAGTTTTGACTATTTGACTCATAACCAAATTCCTAGTGTTTAAGATAGGACATACTAAATATTTATTAAATGAATGACTAAACACAATAGCACATTCTGATTCATTATACTACCTTTAACCTGTTACAATTTAGCTTGTGATAGACACTGAGTCTAACACACACACAAAAGTCACTTTCACACAATTTGCATTCTGATATTTAGGAATACTTCACCGATCTGGGATGGGATATAATGAATATGAGTGTATTATTGACTTTTAAGTACAGATCTATAGTAACAGTGACTTAAAGAGTGTAATATTTTCCTGGTTTGCAAGCAATATGATGACAACATTTTTTCTCCTTTTGGAATTTGGTTTTATTAAATAGATTTAAATAAAATTTTTTTTTAAAAAGTGTTTATTGAGTGGATGTCAGTTGATATGCTTAGTGTATTTATAAAAATGCTCAGCACATAGCAAGTATCCCAACAAAATGTTAGCAAATGAATAAATAAAGTGCTAGTCACTCCATTAGGTACACAAATATGTATATAGCATGCGCTTTGTCTTCAGGATGCTTGATACCGTTACATACATTGTTCTGCTTTCTCATACTTGCTAAAAGAATCCTTTCTAAAAAAACACAGGAAAAAGAAAATCTTTTAAATGAACATTTATCTCTTTATCATAAAAGAAATACTGTCTGTGTTTGGCACTTTTGTAAAACTTTAAATAATAAGGCAGGTATTCTCTCTGACTTTCTAAGGAAGTTTTAAAAAATGTAAAAACCTTTAATGCAGATCTACTTACAATTCATTCTAGAAATTCAAAACCTATGAATAATGATAAATATTAGGTATAAGTCTAGATTACAAAGAAGAGGGAAATAGAATGAGAAATTCCAAAAAGGCTATGAAAACCTAACAGCATCCTTTAAAAACTGACAGAGGAATACTACTGACATACCATTTTTCCCAGAGTAGTCTCAAAGGCTTCAGAAAACTTCTTCAACAGCTCTGTGTCATCACAACGAGTTGCTTTGTACAACATCTCAAAGGACTTGAAACCATGGTTTGCAAAACGTTGTACTGGAAAATGCGGGACAAAACAGCTTCAATTGGTTAGTGTCTTTAAACAAAAAGTTAACTTTCTATCTAATAATTGAAATGTAATATTTTTATTCTAACACTGTCTGTGGGATTGTTATAAAAACCAGAGAGGAAAGTTAAGGAAAGTTTCTAGGTATCAGTTGATTATAATATCCCATGTGCCAAACAGCTCAGTATGCAGTTATCTGGTGATGAGTTTGCTTTTGGTATATTATTAGTTACCTTCCAATTATATAAAAAAGTGGATATAAGAGGTATAAAGTTATTTTCATCATATGTCTTGAATTTTTTGCAAAATCCCGGCTGGTTCAAAGTTATTATATATATTATATATATATATTTATAAATGCACATCATTATATTTATGTTATATTTTTAACAAACAAACTGACACATCTCTAAATATTACTTATGTGAAATTATATTTTTTGAAAGTATAATTTCCACAGAGGAAAATTTCTCCTTACATCAGAAGCTTGCATGGTTAGATTTAGCAAGGGGTTCCAAAGTACTCAGGGACAATGCCTCCTAATAGTATCCTACTGATTAAATATGTGAAACAGGTGCATGACATTGCTCCTATTTACTTCTCTAATTTGGAAACAAGCAAGCAAGCAAGCAAACAAACAAACAAAAACACAAAAAATCCCCAAAACACAAAACAGCTCAAGTAGGTGGGCTTTACTTTTTTCCCCCCAAGATACTGTCATTTAAAGTCCATCTGTGGTACTGAATCAAAGATTCACTCCAGAGAATATTTATTTACACTATATAAAGATGTGGAGTTATTTTCATAGCCACATATATTTAAGATTATAGAATAGCTTAAAATTTATATCAAAACTAGAGAGAATGTGACTGATATATTTTACTCCACCACATATATCAGATCTTATTTTAAATATAAAGTTTTCTGCAGACTAGGAGACTGTAAATTCATGTTTACCGGTCAAGAAGTACATGCAGACAAGTCTCCAGATATTTCTGGTAAATATCTGGATCAAGATCGTTCTGCCTAAAACTGAATCACGTCCTATAGCAATACAGTCAATAAGGTTCTGGTGGCTAAAGTTTTAAATCCAGGGAAGAGTAATTCTTTTATTTAGAAACATTTCAAATCCATGCCACCATTTTCCACTAATTCCTATTGTAAGGCAGTTTTCCTCATTAACACTGAGAAATGTACACACACACACACACACACACACACACGCTCATATACATTAAAGGGATCCAGAATAAAATTAAAACTTACTGGCACAGTCTGGCCACTCAGTGGAATATGGTGGTTTCCAGATACCATCTTCATAAGCACAATAATACTTCTCGGTCGACCCTTCTGTGAAATCATAGCCCTCCAAGCAACTTAATGTGCAGTTAACTCCAGTAGTGTCTTGAGTACATATAAAATCCCCATTTATAGGTGTGAATGGAACTTCACAGGGAGAACCTGTGCTTAAAAAATTGTATTATTCATGTACAGGAGTATGAGAAATATAAATTAAATTATAGGAGTTTAAGCTGAATTTTGAAAAGAACTCCTGTCTACCACTGTTTCTAGAAAAACTTTTACCATATGTTCTTAGTGTGGGAGAGTGACAACATCTGCTTTTGGGTTCCTAGATGGGAATATGTTGAAAGGTTGTACCTATGTGCAATTAGAGGTTGTAAGTAATTTATAAAAAGCAAAAAGTATTTATAATTTGGGGTTATTTGGGGGCCTCTCTTAATATATATGAAAACTGGATAACATGTAGCAAATACATTTTCAGAATCTGTCTCCTTCAGCATTCAAAATAGGATGAGAACAATATAATACATTGTTACCTTAGAGAAAATGTTAATAAAATATCAATTACAGACTCCCCTAATATTTTTATCTATCATGGGGTCAAACAATGACAATTAGAAACTTAAATAATGTCTGTCAGGGTTCTGATTTTAGAAATCTCATGCTCATAGCCTACTTTCTTTCACAAAATAGAATACTATAGTAATAACATATATCAATTGCCAACTAGATGTTTTGGGGATTACAAAGAATATACCTTTTATGACAATGTGGATGTCACATGTCCTATTATTGCCTGAGGGGTCAGTGGCTGTATACCGTACTATAGTTTCCCCGTGAGGGAAGAGGTCCCCTTGTGTATGACTTCTGGTGATGACCAATGCAGCACCTAAAAAAATAAGAAAGGAAAAATTTGGGAGTTATTGGTCTGTAGTCACTTTATTAGTCTCTTATTTGATTTGAAGTTTCATTTTCTATTTATGCAAATCAGCTGGACATTCTCTTTATGTTGATTTTCTCACTAGTAGAAAAATAAAGATCTAATATTTATACTACAATATAGAAATATTAGACTCTGGGGAAGGGGGGCACACCTCATCAACAAGGGAAACTGCACAATGAGTATTTGCATACCTAACCCTGAATTGTACCCCATAATTTAAAAATAAAAAAATTAAAAGTTAAAAAAAGAAATATTAGACCCAAAAACTCCACTAAATGAAGGCATTCTTGCTAAACAAATGATTTTCTTCCAATAGGTCAGCCTATTGAAACATTGGGAGTTTAAAAAGTCGATTTAATTTTTATGTCGTTTTCTGGGTTTTAATGGAAACTTTAACGTATACTTCAGTTTGATTTGCTCAGTTTTATTGTACTTTCTAATGGCCTTTTATAATTTATTTGGTAAGTGTTTAAGAACTGAATATGAATACCCAGAACTGCACTAGAGATGTTAACAGAATGCATAGTTTATGCCTCTAGGACAACATAAGCTTGGAGACTCAAGAAATTCATTAGAACATCTTTAGGTACTAGAACAGAATAAATGCTCATTGAATACTGAAAGGAAAAATCCATGGGTAGATAAAATTAATAATGTTAAATTATTATCCTAGCATTAAAACATACTAACAATATGATTATTCATTCTGCCTGGACCATTGTTACTTGTTTTTTCTCTTTTCTCCTTAAAATGCTTTTTTTTAAAAATTTTTATTTTAAAGATGTGGGGTACAATTCAGGTTTAGGTATACAAATGGTTATTGTAAAGTTTGGGCCTCACTTTGGTCCCCATGTCACCTGGTTTGAGATCAGAATACCCTTATTGATGAAGTATGCCTCCCTGCTTCCTCCTCTGGAAGTTTCCCACTACTGCCAATCCCTTTCTTATAGCATTATTACAGTGTTCAGGGTCCATTTATGAGTGAGAACATGTGGTACTCAGTTCTTTGTTTCTGTGATAGATTACTGAGAATTACAGACTCTAAATCCATCCAAGTTGCTGTGAAAGTTCATTATTTTGTCCTTTTTTATGGCTGCATAATATTCCATTGTGTATATGTACCACATTTTTTAATCCAGTCTACTTTCAAAGGGCAGCATGGTTGGATTCATGTTTTTGCTATTGTGAATAGTGCTGCAGTAAACATGCGTGCACAGGTATCTTTTTTGTAGAATGATTTGAGTTCCTCCGGGTATATTCCGAGAAGGGGAATTGCTGGGTCACATGGGAGGTCAATTCTTAGATCTTTTAGGAATCGCCAAATTGTTTTCTACAGGGGTTGTACTAGTTTACACTCCCATCAACAGCATAGAAGTGTTCCCTTTCCCCTGCATCTTCTCCAGCATCTGTTGTTTTTTTGTTATTGATGATGGTCATCCTGACTGGAATTGAGTGGTATCTTAGTGTAGTTTTAATCTGCATTTCTTTTATGATTAGTGAGGCTGAGCATTTTTTCATGTATCTGATGGCTGCTCATGTGTCTTCTTTGAGAAGTGTCTATTCATATCTTTTGCACACTTTTTAATAGGACTTCTGGAAAAATGCTTTTTAAAATAAAATACAAATCAGTGTTACCATGCTGACAACAAAATCCTGGTCATCTTACCTGAGTTATCTGAGAACTGAGGCTCATCCCAGCTTGCAGCATGCTCTTTCTCTGAGACCTGGATTGGAGGTGGAGATCTGCACCAGTCTATGACAGGTGGTTCTACATCTAAAGAACATGAAATCAGACAAAGAATTCATAACTGATATTCAAAAATGGTGAGGGAGGTTGCAAGCGATAAAGTCCTTGTATTGGCAGAGAACCTTGACCTTCTAATAAACAAGGCTAGCCCTGTGAATGATTTGATAATGTCTTATTCCAGATTCCAACATCAAAAGAAAGAGCTACTTTTTGCTATACTGCTCCCTATCTGATGAAGAAGAAATACCAAGTTCCTAAAATCACTGTGAGCACTGCTGTGTAAAGACAATTCTGGAGATGACAGGTATTTAATTTGTAGGTTCTTCCCACAGCTGTTGAGCTGATCCTCCTGGAAGTGAAGAGAACCATTCCGGATAAGCTGAAGAAGTCACACCAGTATGAAATGATCACACCAGGGTTAATAGATGGCTAAATGGAAGAACCGTGGGGCAGAGATCTAAGTCACAGAATAAGCAAGTCAGGATTTCTAAGATGGATACATTCTAGATGAAGGCACAGAACAGAGTGCGAACCTGAAAATGGAAAAAAGGAGAGGGAGTGAAAACCACAGTAGAAGTTAAAGTACTATGAGACTATGTTGTTGAACACTGGAATTCAGTTGTAGAATGGAATTAAGGTGGGATGAGTGAGCTGGTTTCAAAGCCTTAATTGGATGTGGTGGAGTTTTTAATACATCATTAAAGGACAACAAAAGGGTTATAAAATTTTAATTTTAATACTCATATATATTATATATTCAAAATATTCTTATCACATGCCTCGTCATTTTAAGGAGATAGAACAAATAATATTTTTCTAATTTTACAGGTGAGGAATATTAGACAAGGTAGACTTAAGAAACCTGCCTGAGGTCATTAAGCTGATAAATTGTTACTACAATTTATCAAGACCAGGGTATTAATATTTCTATCCATGATTGATGAAAATATACACTCTGAAATTAAATGAGCTGTACTTGTGAGAATATATAGATTTTTATTTTAAGCGAAGTCTTATGAATAAAGATATAATTTTATCTTTTTCTCATGCTTGTCATTTCATTAGTACAGTTTCTTCGGTTTATGATGTTACTAACTGTAAACTATGCAGATCAGTGAGCAGTCTCTTTTCTCACGGTTAGGTCCCTACTAGATAGCATAGCACCTGGCCCAAAACGGGTGTTCAGAACAAGTTGATGAATAAAGAAAAGAATGAAGAAACGCTCAAAGTCGTTCAGTGTACTTTGAGAATGCTGAATCGATTCATATTTATATTTACACATCTGACAGTATATAGTTACTCTTTTTACAAAAGAAACAACAAATGGAGATTCCAAGATTTTCTAAGTTTATCTGATTTAGTCAAACATTTTAAAGTTGAATCAGGAGGACTTTAAAGACTCAGTCAACTACTGTCAAAAGAATTGGAGGCACCAGCAGATGTATTTTTCTCCAAAGGTGAGGGAAAGCCCTCTTCAAAGCAAGGAAGACAGCACTCTGTGGGTTACCAAGAAGCATTCCTGCTTGCCTTGCATTTATCAGTAAGACATCCACCCTGAAGAAAGTAAGAAAAATGTAGGCCTTGGAGTAGTCTCTCTCTCTCTCTCTCTCTCTCTCTCTCTCTTTCTCTCTGTCTCTCTCTCTCTCCCTCCTTATCTCACCCCCTACTTTCCCCCTACATTTCCCTTTCCTTCTACTTACTCTTCCTTACCTTTCCTTTTCTCTCTTTTATAATTTGGTAATTCAGCTAATACCTAGTTAGATGCTGTCACACTTTACTATGCTGACTCTTCATGATTAAAAATTAGCACTTGGAAAACTCTTGAACTATGCTTCCAAGTTAAATATCACAGTACGGTATTTTAAAAAATTCAAAACATTTTTCATGCGACTGGTAAAGCTTATGTTTAAAACAACATTGAAAAAGCAATTTAAAAAAAAACAGCTAAGCACTATGAAAAGAATTAGACTGATTTTCACTTGTCTCTTTTATCTACTTTTCCTAAAACCTATAATTTATAGAATAAAGAACCAATTTGATATACACTCATTAATTCAAGAAGTTATGCAAAATTCTGAAAACAAAATTAATGCATTGAATTTTAAAATAAGGACACTAAAAATAGATCTGAGACAAATGAGCACAATGCCAATATGTTGCTATAATCTAGCTTTTACTTAGAGCTTAATGTGTATTGAGTACTAGTTCAAATTATTTATATATATCTTAACTAATTAAAAACCTCACAATAACTCTATGAGGTCACACATTTACTAATCCTATTTTGGATAAGGAAACAGGCACAGAGAGGCAACTGGTCATGTTGCTTTTAAGTAGGGGAGCTGGAGATGAACCCAAGCAGTCTGGATTCACAGTCTATGCTCTTGATCAGTATGTATTGCCATGTCTTGTACCGCTCCATGCATTATGTCTTGATGAAGGGCACTAATTGAGACTAACCAGGCCAAAAAAAAAAAAAAGAAAAAGAGAGAGTGAACTACAGATGTGGCTATCAGGATGGAGAGACTGGAACACATTTCATAGGCAACGGGTAGGTGAAAAAATCAATACAAGTAGAGCCTGATACTTTATTGGATATTGGCAATGGAGGGAGAGGAGTCAAAGACAACTTCCACATTTTTGCTTGCTAGTGAAGTGATTGTGTCCTTTTCTAGGCTAAGAAATATATTAGATTTGGTGAGTTTGAAATGCCCATGGGACATCCACATGGACCAATGCAGGAGGCAGTTTTATTTATCAGTTTGGAATTCAGAAAAGAGATTTGAATTGAAGATAGAAATATGGGAGTTGTCAAGTAAAAAATTCATCCAGGAAAATTATAGAGACAGAATAAGAAGAGGGCCAGGACTGAGATCCTGGGGATGATCAATATTTGAGAGTTAGTCTGAGGAAGGGAAGCCTAGGAAACAGATAAAGAAAGACAGGTAGGAAAAATAGAAACAAACTAGTGTCAAAGATGCAAGGGAAGGAGGTAGTTTTGATAAGAATGGTGTCATTAATAATGTAAAATTTGAGAAATGATTATGTAAAATACAGACTGAAAAGCATGCAGAGTAACCTCAGAGATCATTGGTGACCTTGATGAAAGAAGTTTATATGAATGAAGGGTACAGAAGACAGATGAGTGATTTTATTTATTTATTTATTTTTTTGAGTTGGAGTCTCACTCTGCTCCCAGACTGGAGTGCAGTGGCCCCTCCCGACCACCGCAGCCTTGACCTGCTGGGCTCTGGTGAACCTTCCACCTCAGCCTTTCAAGTAGCTGGAACTACAGGTGCGCACTACCAAGCCCTGCTAATATTTGATTTATTGTAGAGATGAGGTCTCGCCAAGTTGCCCAGGTGGGTCTCGAACCCGTGGGCTCAGGTAATCCACTCATCTCAGCCTCCCAAAGCGTGGGATTACAGGCTGAGCCACTGAGCCCGGCTGGAGTGATTTTAGAATAAATGGAAGTTAAAAAGAAAGAAATGATAACCACTGGGAATTTACTAAGAGGCTCACACGGGAAGAATTCCAAGAGATGCAATGAAAGTTAATGGACATATATATAGGTTTCAAAGGAGTGGCTTGAGCTGGTTTCAATGCCAGTAGGAAGAATCAGTGGAAAGATAGTTGTTGAAGGTAAAGGAGAAGACAGACTTTGTGGTATTAGATTGTTTTCACAATACCCAAATGATTTGAAGAAGACTTACCAATAACTTTAACATGGAAAGTGCAGCTGGCTTGGTTGCCAGATAGGTCAATTGCTGTGTATGTTATAGCAACATCTCCAATTGGGAAAAGGTAAGGTGGGGTAAAAGCTGGATGAACCTGGACTGATACCTTTGGGAGATAAATATTTTGAAAATTAAAGTTAATGTCAAAGTACATTTATTATTTTTTTGATTTGTATAGTATTAGTAATGTTAACAATGATATAAAGTTTCATACAGAGGAACAGAAAACAATTAGGTACAGCCTTCTGGTGTATTTCTTTCCAGATATTCTGTTTACATAATTGATAGAATTGGCATGCATATAAACTGTTCTTCCATGTTTTTTAAACATAATACCTCAAAACATTTTTATACTATTATACAGTCTTTATAATATAAGATGACTTTTAAATGTTTCTGTAATGTTCTGTAAAACGAATATATGATGATTTCTTTGAGAAAATTTTGTTGAAGGATATTACTTTGGTCCCAATTTTACTACTGTAAACCGCTCTGACATGAATAGTTTTGCACAGATAATTTAACAAATATTTCTTTTAAAATTTCTTTTTAGTTTTTTATTGATGCGCAATAGATGTACACAGTTTTGGGGTACATGTGATAATTTAATTCATCCATAAGATTTGCAAAGATCAAATCAGTGTACTTGGGATATCCATCACCATTAACATTTGTCTTTTCATTATGCTGAACCACTTGAATTTTCTTGTAGCTATTTTGGAATATACAATATGCAAATTATTGTCACCCTACTGATCTATAATATCTAACACTAGGTTTTATTTTCTTTATTAAGCCATATATTTGCAACAATAATCAACTTCTTTTCACCTTCCTGCTCCCCTCCTCTATCCAGGCTTTGGTAACCACCAATCTACTTTTTATCTTCATGAGACCCATGTTTTAGCTACCATATATGAGTGAAAACACGCCATATTTGTCTTTCTATGTTTGGGTTAGTTCACCTATTTATTATTTCATTATAATAGATTTCCATGAACAGCATTATTAACCATAAACCATTAACAATTTGTTAGTAGATAATATAAAATTTCCTTTCTAATACATGGTAACAATCTTAATGTCAAAGTTTGATAATGTCAATGTCAAAGTTCCCTGATCTATATTAAATAGCATTGCTTGTTGGTAAGTCAAAAATATGGCACCAGGTAATTGCTTTAATTCACGGTTTTTAAATGCTTTATGCTAAAATTAAGTTGTCATGTGTGCACTATGTTATATTTTAATCCTTTTGAATTATATGTTTACTGCCTTTATTCATTTCAAAATTGTGATGTAATAAAAATAAATCTATATTAGCATGCTATATAATAAATATTCTAAGCTTTGTTTAGCAAGTTTGCAGCATTTTTCTCTAGTTGTCTTTTAATTTAGAATTTTTTAAAAAAAGAATTTCAAAACACTTTTGTAGTCAAATATATTTCTTCCCCACTGTAGTTTAAAAACATTTCAAACAAGATTAGGAAGTCATTTATGAAGTGATTTGATTAGTATCCAAATATATTTGATGGGAGCTTTTTTAGTGATTTAAAAGTTACTTGGAACTTCAGGAAATTAAATCAGGAATGAAAAGAGTAAGTTTTGAAGACTTATTCAAAACACAGAGGAAAAAAGAGTACAAATCACAGAAATTTAATAGACATGGATGACAGAAAGTAGACATATAACTCATGGATAATCAGTGTTCTTGAAAAATAAAATAGAATGAATAAAATAAATGATCACCATGTGACCCTGGTCATGTGATGGCTTCTCTCTGAGTCTCAGTTTTCTTATGTGTAAAATAGAACTCTAGGTTATAGGAAAAACTTTGAGCTGAAGAATTCTGTGATTGTAGATGAAAAGGACTCTTAATGTACCAGGTAAAACTGATAAAGAACAACCATCTCCTAAACAAATCTCAGATAATTTCATGTACAGTGAAACATTTTCTACAGCATTCAAGAAGAAAAATAGCAGATTAACTAAAAGGGGAAATTAATTAGCTCACATCATTTTCTCTTTGTCATTAAATGTCAGTCTGGAAAGAAAAAATATTTTTGCTCACACAAAAATATATATACATATTTTTTTTTTCCTGAAAGAAAGGATTTTTTTTTTTGCAAGAAAGAATTTTGAACATGCCAAATAGGAGATGAGTCATCTCAAATCCCTCTCAAATGAGGACAATCATGGTATGAAGGAACTGCCAACAAACACCAAAACTATGTAAACAGACTCAGTCCAAAAAAGTGTGGTAAATGTGGTTGCATAACAGATAGCAAGTGTTATGATTTTTTGGAAGGGAACACACATTTAAAAAACCTTATAATCAATCAATAATAAGTTGGGATAAAAATCTCAGTTTATATCAGCAAAACATAAAGTGGCTGAAAAGTTAAATGGATAATTTGCACATTTTACTTGGATGAGACTCAATAGATAATCTTATTTTTGACACAAATTATTAGGTAATTATAGGTTTATGCATGTTATTTAAAAGACTTTATATTCCTTCTATATATAATTGCAACTAAAGTACCAAAGCTGAAGAGTATGAAGGTTAAGTAATCCCATATCTTAAGGGAGTCCCTAAAGATAGATAAACCAGTAGGAGGCTTCCATACAAATGGTTGAAATGGTCCTGTACTCCTAGCACTCATGACCAGCCCACATTAGAAGAGATTTTGTGGAAATAGTAGCATTCACTTGGGTGGAGTGTTGGGATATTCCCCCTCCCTTCTTTACTGGGAGGAGAAGAAAGGTGATGACTGCCTCAAATCAAGTGGCTGGGCTTCAAACAACCACTCAGAAGACATTGGGAGGGGCTAAGGATGACATTGGGAGGGGGTGGAGATGCCTGCAGAAAGGAGAGACCAGCATCCTATTCCCAGGCTGGATGCTTGCTGGGCATAGAAATGCATAGATTCACCCTAACATGGTGAGTATTGGCTAAAACTGGCACCCATCCTTTGAAGTTTAGGGTCATACATTAACACAGACAGGTGAATGTAGACAGCTTCTCTCCGTCCTAGTGAATGTTGAAGGCAGGAGGCTTGTTCAAGTACTATGGGAAGATTAGGAGGAGGAGAGAGAATTCTGACCATGCACTAGCTTGCATTCTCATTCTTTGGCAGGGTGAAGACATGTAAGCCAAGGGGGAAGATAACAGTACTTGAGCTGTTCTGCCTATACTGTGTTCTAGAGATTTTAAGAGGATGTGGGATGTATCACAGGACCTGGAGCTGGGCAGGGGGAAAGAGTAGGCAGAACAGGTACTGCCAGAGTCTCCATGTCAGGGAGCTGAATGGGGGTAGGAAGATGCTTCTACAGAGCCTTCTGCAGAATCTATATATGAACTCTATGACAGAGCCAATATTTGGATGTTTGCATCTCAGAGTGCATCAGCAGTATAGAGAGGATCACACAGCATTAATTAAATGAAATACTTTTAAACTGTTCCTCAAAAGTGCTTCTTTCCCAACTGTATTAGTTTCCTACTGTTGGTATAGCAAATTCCTACACATTTTGCAGCTTAAAAACAACACAATTGTATTATCTTATAGTCCTATAGGTTAGAGACACTGATGGGTCTTACCCCATCTCAAAATCCTTAGTTTAATTGAATCTGCAAAGTCCTTTTGCTATGTAGGGAAACATATTCACAGCTTCTAAGGACTAAGACGAGACTATCTTTGGGGTTGCCATTTTTCTGTGTATCACACCAGCCTTGACCTTAGAGAAGCCAGAAACAGAAGTGTAGGAGATTCAGAAGGAATAAAAAGAGTATTCTCTATTCTCTCTCCCCAAGTCATTCAAGACAGCTCTGAACTACTGGAGGAAAAATCTTTGAAGTGGATACAGGATTTAAGCTTTTATTTAGGTAGCAGGATGCTTCTTTTTAATTCCCTAGAGTGAGTTTTAATTATGGAAAGAAACTACTGGTGTACCCCAGAGCAACCGAAGCATGTGACTGTAGAAAAATAGTTATTTTCTATTGGTGCCTTTCCTAGTTCAGACCATTCAAAATGAGTTACACAATTATAATTTTGATCACATTGTACATCTAATTTAGCAATCTACTTTCTACCAAGAAATATCCAATTTTGAGAATTTTCTTGGGGTCTAATCAGAGATAAAAACAAAGAGTTAGTATGAGGATGTTCACAGCAGCATAGAGTTGTTTCCTTTCTTTTCTTACCCTCTTTTGAGTTCATGATCTATTATTACAATAAACTATTTTTGTTAATAGTCTAAACTGCTTTGCTTCTCTTTTTTTCTTTAAATACTCTATACTACAGAGAAATCCATTTATCTATGTTTTTTATGCCTGTACCAGAAAATCATATCACTTGGGAGATGTTCACAAAATAGTATAGCTAAATCTCTATAAGTTTATGATCACTAAGCTCAAATGGGCCCCACCACTAGCCAATAGTTATACTGTAATTTCTCTGGTCTGGTCTCTTTCCTCTTCAGAATGAATTTTTTCAAAACATCTCCATTCTCCTCAAACTTCGAAACTCTTCCTTAATTCATTTAATTAGGCTTTGGGTATGATTACTTTCTGACCAGGAGCAATACACAATGGATTGTCACCTCTTTTTCATGTATATTAAACTTGTCCATCTCAACTGGCTCTTTCTTTTCTATTTTTATTCTTTTGAGCACATTTAAGGTCTTTTGCTATGTGGTAAGCTGAATAATGCCCCAAGATGTCTATGTCCTAATGCCTGGAACCTGTGAATTCTAGCTTACATGGCCAAAGGGATTTAGCAGGTATGACTAAATTAAGAATGTTAAAATGGAGATACTATTTTGAATTATCCAGGTAAGCTCAGTGTAATCACAAAGATCATTAAAAGAGGGAAGCAGGAGGGTTAGAGTAAATTGAAAGGGGTGTGATGATGACAGCAGAAGTTATAGTAAATGCAGCCATGGCCCAAGGAATGTGGCCACCTCTAGAAGCTGGAAAAGGTAAGGATGGATTTTTCCTCAGTGTTCCCAGAAAGAATGAATGCATGACTTTAGGGTCTCTGCCCAGCTACCCAGGAACAATACCAATGTGCAATGTCAACATGGTTTTCTCACTCTTTGACCTAAAGT